TGGAAAGTGAATGCGTTTGCGTGGAAGCTGTATGAAGCTTTGCTGTTTGGAAGATGCAGGGTGCGCCGGGTGAATACGGCTGGTTACGAATGACATCGATTTATAATCGCAGGCAAGTATGTGGTCTACATCGCGAGCCGTGGTTTGGAATCCTGTGCGAGCAAGCGGAGATGCCAGTGGCGCGCCGCTGTGTGGGCAAAGTCCTGGAGAGAGTGGCCAATGGGAGGCAGAGATCGGCTGGGCTAGAGCTGAATGGTAGGTGACAAAGGATGATCGTCTTTAGCATTTTGATTGTCATGATTGCTGGAAGAATGAAATATAGGGCGGGTTCGGGTGGGAACGAAAAAACAATGGCGCCCGAGCGCCTCGAAAAAAGCTCCTCTAAGCTTCGTCAAGAAAGAAGGAAGAAGCTGCGCATTTTTGCGAAAGTTGTGCTTCAAGTCTATCGAAGCACGACCGTCCGATGAGACGGCCGTGCGATGCGCCAATCAGTGCGCAGTCCACTAGCTAGGTACCTACAGTAGATTCAAGATCTCGCCGGCTGCTGAGGGTTGATCTGGCGGGATCCCTCGAAGTGCTACGGTACGGTACCAGGATGCTGGAACTCAGCGGGTGCGGTATGTATCCGGAACCGTTGCCTGAGCTGTGGAGATGGGCAAACCCTAATTCCGGTCTGCAGCAAGCAGGCTCCAAGGCTCCAGCACATGCCTATGTTGCTTAGGAAAAAGGAGGTGGCTGACAGGGAGGGGTGGAGAAACATGTTGCAGTGGTGAAGCTGAATCTCGCCAGCGGCACTGGCCATCATTCCTTCGACCAGTCGACTTCCCCTTCAAACACATTTGTCGTGATTCGTAGGAAGAGGGGAAGGTGCTGCGCAAGGAGTTGGGTCCGCATGGTGAAGAGCCACGTTCCCCATGCTTCAAAACCGAGTATTCTGAAAGTTGATTCAATTTTGGGGTAGTGCATTCTGCTGGCCTCCTACCATGGAGGTTACATTTGAGGGCGAAGGTGGTTCTCCAACAAATGAGATCACGCCAGATCCTCTGAGCGAAGACTTTCTATCATGGGTTAAGTTAACGACCGCCAGGCCTGGAACGTGGCCCAGTTCGCAGGGAAGCATGCTAGATGATCAACATAAATTGGAACCAGAATCAAAGTTGCTCAGCAGCTATGCTGATCACGAGCAGCGTGCACTGCGTCTGGAAGCTAATCAAAGAAGGAAGCTACTGCAGAGCTATGACCGAGCTCTAGGATCAGCACGAGACAACGAGGAGCTGGCCAAGAAACAGGTGAATGCTCTGCCCCCTCATTCCAAACTTGAGTTGCTCAAATCCAGGCTTACCATCACATGTAGACTATCTCAGGGGGGACGAGACTGAAATTATTGAAGTTTCAGCACAGTTTGGTGCACACTGCCTGGCCAGGTGCCCCTTCTGATGACACAGTTGGTGGTGGCAACTTTCCCTTGCGGAAGTCAGGCAAGAATAGAGCTAGCAACATCTGCACATGCATTACTCTTAGACACCTTCTCACCAAGTTCACTATTTTGATGAGCTCCTTCAAACAAAGTGCAATCTTTCCCGTGTCAAAAGAAGAAAGACTTTGCAGAAAGGATACGGCCAGTCAAAGCATTTCCCAGACCTCGGACGTGCCCTGAGCTTTGTGGTTCTCATTTGCGCTACCCGGCTCAAACAACTGCCTGCTATTCAGTGAATATTGGTGGTGGATATGCAGGTGCTTCAAGCAGAGGACTTTCTCTCTTCCTTGGAAGATCAGTATGAGAACATACTGGAGCAGCTGCAGGAAGCATCGCAGAGCCATGGCTCTCCGACCGAAAAGGTCAGTTGTGTTGCAAAAAGCCCGACACAATGCAGGGCATGCTCCTATCGTCGTCAAGGCATCACCAATGATGTTCGGCAGACAAGCTGAAATCATCTGTGTGGGTGTGTTCCGTGTTGCCTCAGAGAGCTTGACACCCTGAACCACAACCGTGCGCCTGTTTGCCAGCTTGCCCAAAAACACCACCAGTGTTTCCACATGATGGTCTATCTGATAAGCTTGGAGGAGCACACATTCGCAGCAACTCAGCAAGGACGTTGCTGTGCTGGTTTTCTTTCTTTGATAGAGTTCACACCTTGAATTTGCTCTGTTGAACTTGAACGCCGGTGCTCCTGAGGGAGTATTATAGCACACAAGACAAGCTGCTTGGTGACCTGATCAAAGCTGTGTGCGGTTCAAGTTGACTGCACTGCTTGTTATAAAGGCTGTAGTACATGATAGCTTTTTGCTTATTCATTTGCAGATGCTTATCCTGCGAGAGCGGCTGGGTGAGTGCATGCGTGCCATAGAGGAGCAGCAGTTGGCACTGGACAGGGCCAAAAGAGAGGAGGATGTCGCTCTAGCATCACGCCTGCAGCTTGAAGTCCAAACCAGGGGCATGGAGGTGCGTATATCTCTATACCCTCACGCGTGACGCAGTAAAGACAGCGGCGGGTTTTGTTTTTCGAGTTTCTTGTCGTTTCGAGACTGGATGACTTACTGGCTGAGCGTGAGTCGTTTTACCGAGAGGCCACCGAAGCCTGTTCCGAATGCACAACACTTTGAGCGAGCTTTCCGTACTGGTGGAAAGAAACACAAGTTTGTGAACGGTATCGGGCCTCGAATCTTTTTGAGCTTCGAGTAACACCGCAGGATGGTCAGTCGTGCATGATTCGGACACGGGCGCAAAATTTCAGGTAATCATGATTTTGGCCGCTCCGCTTTCCGCTTTCTACAGGAAACCAAAACTCTGGAAGCAGGCAATCTCGGAGAGGCGGGGTCCTTGCAGCGGCTGGCGACCCTTCGGAAAGACAAAGAGGTGAGGAAGAAGATGCGCGAATTCGGCTATCTCGTTTCTTGTGCTTCGTCACGTCCCAATTGGTGGCGTTATCGTGCTTGCATCGTTACATCGACGTGCTTCCCGGCTTAATGACAGGATTTCGGTCAAAGAGGTACAAAAACAGGTTCTAAAGGCCGACTATATCTAATCCGAAGAGTTTGCACCACTATGCGTTTACTTCGCCTGTAGGATGCCCCGCCATCCCATTTTGAGGCTCAGGCAGATCGTCAATGTTTCAAATTGTAGTTCAGCTTCCATTCTGACTGGATTCCGAACCTGAATTTACGGGTGCCTCAACCGCTGGTACATTTCCTTGTCCGCAGTCTGTCCCAGCAGAGCAGTACCGAAAAGGGAGCCACAAGCTGAAGCTCCTCGCTAGTGAAGAGCGACAGAAGCAGGCGGACCTAGATGAGACAGTTCTACAGCAGGCAGGGGTACGCGACGTGTCACGTTCCCTCTCCTCTTTCTGAGGATTTCCCTCTTGTTTATGACCCTCTGCTCAGGCATACCTTTTCTTTGAATCCATCCGCTCGTTTCCGATCCTGTGTTTGGACGTACTCTCCTCGGATCTTAGCTCGTTTGTGACCTGTGCTCGAAGCTTCTATTCTTGCGTGGCCATCGTGACCTTGATTTCCGGTCTAGAGCAAGAAACGTCATCACTCTGGGTGGCAAACCAAGGGCCGACACAAAGACTTTTGGCCTTTCTATCCGCGCGATGCTTAAGCCTGCGGTTGATGCTGCTAAATAGTCCTTATCACGGAGCGTCCTCGATTAGCAGACTGAATTTTTATCGAAGGGTTACTCGACATCGTACAAAATCCTACTGGTTCGCCCGTTATGGCGGTCGTGGGTACGATTTTCTCGATTTGATCCGGTTCGATATGTTCTGGCTGAGAACTCAAATACTCTCTGTCTTGTCAAAAGAGGTAAGAAAACGGTTTCGAACCTCATTCTTAATTGTTGTATCTTCAGGAGGGACGACGAGTCGCAGTGGAGCGGTTGAAGATCCAGCTTGGCGCGATACGGTGAGCTTGCTGACGGTTCCTTTGATCAAGGCCCTCGAGATCCGCATTCTGAGAGCCGTTTTGCGGCAGAAGAAGACCTCATCCTGAGTCCACGCCATTCTCGTAGTCTCCAGGGGGAGCCTGTTCGTAAGACCCTCTACAGTCTACCTGGACCGAAAAGTTCGTATCTTTTCGCTTTCTGACCGAGATGAAAAAGAGAGATTTGCTTGTCTAATCTGAGCTTACCGAATGATTGATGCCTTTAAGTCTGCGATCTTCCGAGTCTTTCCGACGCTCAGCGAAAGCGGAAAACAGTCGTCCTTTTTCCGACGCAGGAAAGAGTGCGTGGATCCTGATAGCTTTCGCTGCACAGCTGACCATTCCGCTGTCGCAGGCTGAATGAGTCCGCGCGGAGCTCCACCCGGATCACGGAGCGGAGCCGGAAGGCGGCCGCGCTGCTGCAGCTGAAGCGCGACACGGAGGCGATCAAGACGGAGATTGAGTCGAAGAACGCGTCACGGCAGCGCCGGTTAAAGCTCCGGGAGGAAGCACGAACTAAAGAAACGGAGGCGCTGCTGAAGGCTGGGAAAAACCCCTATGAGGTGGGGGAAGGTCTCGGTTAGCAAGTTTCTTACTTATCTCGGGGTAAATCTCGAGCTGCTGCAGGGCGCTCCGCTGGTTTTCAGTGAGGTCGGAGCCGGAACCGGAATCGGTGTCGTCGTTGAAACTTTCGCATGTAGAGCTGGGCGACGTAGTGAGGGAAAGCGCGGGCGGAAATTTGCTGAGTCGGAGCATGCTGACTTCCAGCGTGCATCCTGGCAAACCTTGCTCACTACGCGTGAGTGGACGCCTTTTTGATCTTGCAAAATTAAAAGCGAAACTTCAAGAAAGCAGGTCAGTACTATACTACAGTCCTCGAATCAAATGCCTCTGCCACTGCAGATTTTCGATGCCCTTGCATTCGTTCTGTGAAGGTCGACTTCAAAACAGAGTTAGTCAGCGTAAGACCAACAAGACGCGTACGATGCCAACAGCAACGCTGATGAATCATTTGGCAACACCTCCCCCCTGCAAGAACACTTCGAATTCATGGTGCCTTTGACATTGGCAGGTCTTTCGGCGGCGCGAGCAAGAAGAGGCGCGCACGCGCGAGCAGGCGCGCGTAGATGAGCGGCGGCGGCAGCAGGAGGCGGACTTCGCGGTCGAGATGGAGAAGGAAGCGGTGCAACTGGAAAAGGTCACGGCCAGAATGACGGTGCGCGATATGACGTGTGGTTAATACGCGTTCTCTCTCCAGAAGGATAGAGTGGGCAGATTTACGGATAGGAGAAGGACTTTTGCGTGCGAGCCGGAGAACGGAAGCGGTGTGTAACTGGAAGCGGTAATAGCGGCAATAAGGTGCCCTGATCTGCTTCTAGGTTTGAGAAAGAGGAGGAAGAATTCAAATGCAAGACTCGTCGTGAAACTTATCTGCTAAGATTCACTTTTCAAAAGTGCGTTTTGATGAAACCTCGAGATTGAGCTTCACGCTGCGCACTGCAGGGTTCCAAAAAGGACTTAGCTTGACGTGAAACCCATCCAAGAAGCTTGCCGATGTGAATCGCTTGTCTCTTATATGGTTTTGAGGGCTGTGTTACTCACATCTTTCATTGTCCCGCGATAGGCCTTCGAGGCGCGGCAAGTGCCCGTCAAGATGGACGACCCGGACAGGTGGCGCAATTACCTGGAGGCACGTGCCCTCCCGGGGCTGGAGCTGTCCGAGATCACCAAGCCCGGCGGGTTCCTGCCGTCCAAGGTACGCAAAGGCGTATGAAAATTAGATAGCGTCAAGTCGAACTTCCGGGAACGGTTGTGACGTGCTCCATAAATCAGAGGAGTATGGTACGCAGGCGTCGAAAGATTAAACCGCACGCTGAAACGTAGATGATGCCAAGCTTTGACGCCGCACAATGTCAGAGGAGAAGGGCCTGTGAGAATTGCATTGAACCCTGCAGCTGTAGAGTCTCTCACATTGATCCGACGTAAAATTCTACCGCTTGCTCTGGGCTCTCTCATCACTTTCCAAAGGCTCTGCTGTAACGTAACCCCGACGGCTTCGTTGCCCTTCTGGTTGGAGCTGAGGCTCCTTAAGCAGTCCTAGCTTTCTACCTTTGCAACTTGCTCATCATCTATGGTTGCAACGTTCCCACTGCTATAGCTGCCAGCACCATATCATCTTCGTAAGAATCACTCTGCGCGCGTGTATATACTTGAAGCAATCTAAAATTGACGATCAGCGGTGTTGACTTGCAGATTGCGGACCCCTCTAAGATTCTCAACAAGTACCAGCTGGGTCTCGGCATCGCTTCCAAGTCCACCGTTGACGCCTTACAAAAGGTCTACCACGAAACCCCGAGCGAGCTCCTCATCCCCCGGTCTCCCAACAAGCCCGCCCCACAGCCGTCCGATGCCCAATCGGACGGCCAAAACGCAAGCCTCTTGTCTGGGGGCGGTTCCGACGAACCCGACGGGGGTGGCAACGACGAGAACGTCAGCCCGGGCGCGCGGCCGCGCGCGCTGAGCACGTGGGAGGCGCGGCGGCTCGCGGAGGCGCGCGCGCGCCACAAGGAGACGGGCATGACCCGGAAGCAGGTCGTCTGGGGGAGAGAGTTCAAGGGCGCTGCGTTTCTACCGACGCCTGCCGACATCGTGTTTAAGGATTTCGAAGTCGGGCATACGTATAAGACGAAGTTCACGCTCACGAACGTCTCGTACACTTTCAACACGTTCAAAATTGCGGACCTGCCGGACGCGGTGCGCGACTTTTTCGTGGTGGAGTACGAGTTCCCGGGGCAGGTGTCCGCCGGAATGAGCTGCGAGGTGAGGAGCGGAACGGGTTGTGCAGTCATCGTGAGCTTGAGTGATGCACCGCAGGATACGAGCAGGGTATACGCTATCTTCTGCTTGCATTGTAGCAACCTTGGAAAAACCATTGTCCGGCGAACTCCTTCACTGAAAACTCCTTTGGAGGAGAGAACAGAGCTATTCTTTATACTCATTAATGTGCTCTTCGAATCAGCTTCCGAGTTTTGATTCAGGCGCTCAGCTTGTTGGGCTATGATTGGCTTCCGGACAGAGTAAGGAGCAACCTGGATCTCAATGTGCACAAATGAATTTTTCAAGAAGGTTCGATACTTGCGTCTCAAGATTTGAAGACCTCAAGTTCTAGTAGCATACAACGGGTGACCTTTGCACATTATGCCGCTCCAAAACATTGCAATCTCACTTCTGCAGGTGACCATCACATTCACCCCTAAAGTGAACGAAGACATCTTCGAGGAGCTCCCGGTTCTCGCGGCAACCGGGCCCATGTCGGTGCCCATTCGGTGCCTGATCAAGCGCACGGTGATTGTCACCGACCCACCCACCAACCGGCTGGACTTTGGCATCGTCACCCGGGCGGAAAAGTGCGTCAAGACGCTGACGATCGAGAACCGAGGGTCGCTACCGACTGCGTTTGAGCTGAGGGAGTTGGGGCCGGAAGGAGCGCCCGGTGACTCGGTACTGAGGTGAGCGAAGCGCTCGGCGAGAAGTTCCAAAAAGAACCCACAAGCGGTCGACCAAGTGCTGTCGGGACCTGAAAATGAAAAGACCCTTGGGTCGTCAGTTATATTTGCGAGTCCAAGGTCCTTTGAGATACTTGATCGTTGCGGATGTGTTAAAGGCCCAAGGGCGCAAGACGCCGCTGTCGAGTTTGCCTGCTGTAGAAAATCGGATCAATCTTAACGTCAGGTCTTTAACAGACACCGCTATAATAAAACCTGCGTTCAGCAACCGTACGCTTCGCCTTTGTCCAGAACTCTCGTGCTTGCACAGGCGGAAAGGGCCCTCCGCGAGAGATGTTCGTTGATTTCGACTGGCATATCTGTCAGTACTGCATTGAGGGCCTTCAAAACGATCTGGAGCTCTTGCATCCGGTTACGAAAACAGATGCGTAGCTTTTGTCTGCCCTCTTCTTGGTTACGTCTATCTGCTCGTGAGTCTGCACAACAAGGAAACGACACAAATTGTGCATTCCTGAAACACAGTCAATCGGCTCACAAAACCACTGACTTCAGAATCCAAACACCGCAGCTATACGAAAACGGGCGCGGTGGGGGGATACAGCAAGGCCCGGATTGACTTCACGTACGCCCCCCTGGAAGAAGGCCCTTTTCGCCGGACGCTTTCCGTGACGTTCTCGGCCAAAGAAGTGGGCGATCTGACGCTTGACGTCACTGGAGCGTGCGGTGACGTCCCCATCTACCTGGAGAGCGAGGAAGCTGACTTCAAATGCTGCGTATACGAGCAGGCAAGATATTCCTGGCTAGACACAGGCTACCTGAGAGGGCATGTAAAAGTTTTCCGAAGTGCGGGCGGTGCAGTCCATGTCCAATTTCTTTTCCAGGCCTGACGCACACATCGGTTCTAAATGGAAGGAAGAAGGAAGGGCCCGATACCCCTCAACCTTTTGAAGGTTTTGAAAGGATTAGCTCGGCTCCTGAGGTACCCCTCAAAAGGACTTCTGGAAAACGCGTGGAAACCCTCTTTCGAGAGCCTGCGACTCTTCCGTGACCGACCTAAGAAGCGGGAACGTTTTTTCAATAGATCTGAGTTTGGAGACGCCCGTAGTTCTTAACCCGCTGCTTCACTGTCCCTTCAGCTTCTCGTCGTGATCCATTTTCCGCTCCTTCCGCTGCAGGTGTACCGAAACGTCCTGGTCGTTGCTAACCGCGGCAAAACCACGATGAAGGTTACGCTGACCCCGCCCAAGGGGCTCGCGGGCTGCCTCCAAATCGTGCCGGAATTGGGTTACGTCCAAGCCGGGGGCACTTTCTCCTTCCAGCTCAAGTTCTTGCCCGCTCTAGATCTCCTCGAGCGCTGCGCCCCCCACTCCAATTCCGCCACCGGAACCCTCGCGGTTCCGCTCCGGTTACGGATACCGGAACAGACCTTCCCGGTCACAGCGGTGGTCAAGGCGACGCTGACGTCAGCGGAGCTTCGCTTCTCCCCGCCCGCGCTTGACTTCGGCACGTGCCCCGTTGGGGAGTCCGTCGCCTGCCCCCTAACCCTGAGTAACCCGTCCGCCTTACCCCTCCGTTACGGCTTTAACCCACTTCCGAAAGGGGTGTCCGTCAAACCCGGCGACGGGTTTGGAAGCCTCCTTCCGGGGGAGTCCGTTCAGCGGTCGGTGATTTTCACCCCTCACGCCGCGACCCTCTATAGCTTCCCGCTCCCCTGCACGAGCTCCCTGGCACCCGCGCAACCCTTTAAGGTTCCCTGCGTTGGGCTGGGCGCGCTCGCGCCCCTGGTGTTCAGCGCGAACCGCGTAGAGCTTCCCGCGACGCCCTTGGGAAGCGCCTCGACCGCGACTCTGCTCCTGAAGAACGTTTCGAGCGCACCGCAGAGCTTCGAGTTCGCGCTTCCGGATCGACGCGATCTAATCATCAGTCCTTCGATTGACGTCATCCAACCGGGGAAAGCGGCGACGATTCTGGTCGAGTTCCGGCCTTCGGAGGATGCTGACGTGAGCGAAGGGAGTGAAGGTGACGTTGCTGACGTGCCATCTGACGTTAGCAGGCCAGCCAGTGGCCAGGGTCGACCGGAGGTAGGAGCACAGCCCGGAACGGAACCGGAAACGAGTTCTAGGAGCGAAGTGCCTACGAACGGGGAAGTCAGACGTAACGCCGCCCTGTGCTTACGTCAGCAGACCGTCATCCCGTGTCTCATTCGGAAGCAAAAAGCTCAGGCGCCGTCCGAGGTGAAGATAACCAGCCTGGTTACGGTGGAACCCACGCCGCAAATGAACGGTAACGCCGGCTCCACCGCAGCGGTCAGCGTTACGCTCCACCTGGAAGTCCATACGACCGCCATCGAGCCGCAGCTGGCAATCGAGGACGTCCCGGGGGGCCCCGATCCGCAGGGATTCTACCCCCTGAACTTCGGCCAGGTGCCCGTGGGCAAGCGGGTGCTGAAAACGTTCACCGTGCGACACGTGGGCAGCCGTCCGATGAGCATATGCGCGAGCCCGTTGGGCCACGACGGGATATTCACACGGGTGAATGCGCTCAGGGAGCTGTTCCCCCTTGAAGAGGATCCGGCCGCTACTTGTCGCAGTAGCGAAGCTTCTGGGGGGGCCGGTTTCGCCGGCAGGTCAACCCCCCCAGCAGGAGAGGAGCACGGGACGGACGAGACACGTGGCGCTTCCAGGGCTTCAGGAGAAGCTTCGAAAAACGTTGGAGAGTCAGCGGATTTGGTATCGGGGAGGGAGATAGTAAGTGCTCAGTCAAACCCAGCAGATCGAAGTGCCAGCCGTTCTTCGTCTGCCGCGGGGGGCCCTACTCCCAGCGGAAAAAGCACCCCCGGTCCAACCGCCGAAAGCGTCCCCAGCACGTCCGTCGGCGCCGGCAAATCCCTCGCGGCCGCTGAACCCCTAAACCCCGCGAAGCGCCCGCCGACGCAGCAGAAAGTGTTGGTCGAGTTCGCGCCGGCAGCCCGGATACGCTATCGGGAGGTGATGACCCTTTTCACCAAGGGGGGGCTGGGAGCGACTAAGCTTCAGGTGTTGTTGCTGGGGGAGGGGATTAGCCCTACGATGCACCTGGACCCTCAGATTACAGCCGTCAATCTGGGACACGTGTTGGCGGGAGAGAGCGTGGAGAAGGGGTTCGCGATCGTGAACACGTCGCCCTTCGCGCTGACATTCCGGCTGCGGCTGGACGGAACCGTACAGCGGAACCGGAACGGCATGGAGGTGAGACTTTACTTGAGACGTTGTGTCTGATTGTTTTGATCGTCTACAGCAAGACTGGGAGCGCTTGAGGGAGTTTCTTCTGTTGACGTGTGTGGCCGTTCAATCAACTTATTGCTTAGATCCGTCCCGGTTTTTGAGCAGATCTTCAGCAAAGACGCTCGTCGAAGCGCAGCAATCGGAGATTTTAAAGCTTTAGTGCAGAAGAGCAGTCTACAGAAGCGCAGGAGATTATGTGTTGGAGACCTTCGCCGTGTACCGAGGACGTCGAACAGGATAGAAAATTGCTTGGAGCAAAAAATAAACGCCATCGTCCACTCCTCCCCAAAAGGCCCCCAAAAAATTGGGGCCAGGCTAAGAAAAAAAATTGGAGAAGGATGAGCATGCAGAGCCGAAATCATAGTAGGAAATAGATCGTTGCCTTTCTGCTTTGGTTCTTCATACGGTGTTCTCAGCTCATCCTAGCTGATCACATGATTGCTTGGAAGCAAAGCAACCCAGACGCTGAAGTTGCTCGCTGTAGAATAAGCAGTCGCAGACGTATCAGGCCAAGTCAAACTGAAATGCACATCGACAACCGTTTGCTTCCTATCCAAGCACACTCATACTGTAAAACGTCCTCTCATTGTCCCCGCAGCCCATCTTCTGCAAGCCCGCGGAGGGCACAATCGAGGCCGGTCAGCGTGCCCCGGTCGCCATTGCCTTCAACTCGGACCGCCCGGGGTGCCAATACCGGGCGAAGCTTCTTGTCGAGGTACGCACGAAACGCATCCGATCTGCATCTGCATGTAGGTTCAAGAATTTGTTGTATGATTGTCGCCCTATTTACCTGCCTAACTTTACTGACCGGTGACTTTCGGTCCCCAGTCTGCAATGCTGAAGGCCTTCGCGCAGTCCTTACGTTCTCTTCTCGTGAAAGTTCAAGGTTTTCTCCCGGGTCTGACCCGTAAGTTCATCGCCTGTTTCGTTCTTGTATTTCCGGATGAGCTTCTGCGTGCCCTGTTTTTTGCGTACCCCGACTTACGTCCTAAAAGGTGCGATGGCATGTGGCCAGTATGGTCTTTCAAAAAGCGCTCTGCCCATCTGTGTTTTCGTGCTTCCATCCAATCCGGACATCTTCTCGAAACTCTGTATTCGAAAGCAACGGTAGGGCTAGGAGTCCTGATCACACTGTGCGATAATTCGATGGTCCAACAGCCTCTGTATGCGAGGCGCAACTTGATGTTCTGCATGCTGCCTGTGGAAACTCACGCTAATCACGATTCTCAACACGGCCGCCGCTTCGCGTAGCCTTTCACGGTTGCTTCAGAGCTCTACAAGTTTCGTAGTCGAAGATTCTTAACGAGAGTAGATTGAGAACTTTTGCCGCAGACAAATATAAGCGTCGTACTTGGCCCTGCCGTTCCCATTCTTGGCTTCATAGTCTTCCTGAGCCTACGACAAGCGCTTTCTATAGCACGGGTATGCTGTTCACTATAGAGAAGCATCCCCGATCTTCTTGTGCAGGTCCCTAATCAAGACAAAGAAGTGACGATCGATCTTACCGGCTACTGCTGGGACCAGGCGCTCTTCCTGACCGGAGCCGACCCCCCGGATGATCCCCCGACCCACGATACAGAACCGGGGGGTGTGCCGAAGGCGGTAACGGTGACCCTAGTCACGGACGGGGCCAAAGGCCTCTCCTCGCGTTCGATAACGGTGGGTTGCGCCGAAAGTGGCAAGGCCGGTGGGAAAAGCGCGACCGGGGAGTTTGTGATTGAGGGACTGGATAAGGGCTCCGCGAATGCGGCGCAGGGGTGGTCGGTTGACGTCAGCAAGGGGAGCTTGGCGCCCGGGGAGAGAAAAACGGTGACGTTCAGTTACTCGGCGCCCCAAAAAGGGGGCCACGGAGGGGGAGCATTGATAGAGCTCGGCGAATTGGTCGAGACGAAGGTGGTTTTGCAGTGGAAGGGAGGGGCTCCTCCGCCCAAGGAATCGCAGGTGCAATTGACTTTAAGGTGCCTCCCGAACATCTAAGGCGAACTGGGAAGCGAGGAATATGTTAAATCTGATAACCAAGATGCGTATCTACGTATCAACAAGGAAATGTCAGAGCTTGTCATTCATGTACCACGGCGGGGTTGCAGTCTCACTCTCTCACTGATGTGTAGCCACCTTACACATATTGGCTGAACTGACGTCCAAAAGTGAAATTGAAACGTCTTTCAATTTGACGCTCGCGCGCGCCTGAATCGTGACCAGACTGAATAACAGGGCCCTAACAGGGCTGTGCCGTCTTCTTGGATCTAACTGCAGCTTGAGACCATGAAGCACTCAGTGCACCGAGACGGGGCCAGATTTTCGCATCATCTGCCGTGGGGGACTAAAGACGAGCTGCATGTTTATTTCTTCGAATTCAAGACCAACATGTGCTCGCCCCTAACATTGATCTATAGCTATGGCCCAATTAAAAATCAAAAAATCAGTAGGATAATCTATAGGCATTCTTTGATAGCGATTTTGCGACCAGTGCAGGTCAATGAATTTATTGACCTGCCTACGCCATGCAGAAGCTAAACAAGAGAGCTGCGCGATCACTACATGCGAGCGCGGGCCTGCCTATGCATAAGGGGCTGGCATCCAACCTTCGACCGCAGGCCGTCAAGCATAGCCGGGGCCTACCATTTGACTGATGCAATGCAAAATATCACTATACCGATGGACGGCCGGCTGCATGGCCCAGCTCAAGCAGGATGCCAGCAGCGCCTCGCGGCGCATTCGACTCACCAGTATAATGGATTCACATGCATCCGAAGACGCAACCATGCGAATCTAGACATGAGAGGTACAGCTTGATGAGCCGCAACCCTGAGGCGGATAATATGAATGTACCCTGGCCAGCGCTGCCTCGTGAATACTTACTAAGCTGACTGTACCGTTCGTGGTTGGATCGAGCGCATTACCTAAAGTTGAACTATTGATAAGCGAAGTTGTTGCCATGGCTCGCGCTAAACAGCTCAGCTGATCATGTCAACGATACAGGCGGTGCGTGCAGAACTCTGCCAGTCCTCCTATCAAATCGATGCTGCAACCTATCAAGCTAGGGCTAGCGGGTCGAACATGCAAGGCTGCCTCAACACTGTACCTCACCCAAAAATATTGTTTGGAACTGTCCAAAACCAAGGTGGTCGCCGACGACTTCAAACGTCCAGGCATTCGATCACCTCGCCCGCAATGAATGCTCTCTTTCGAGAGTCGCCCTCCCTACATTGACCGCAGAAAAGGCCTCTTGCCGCATCCGACCGCAGACGAATTTCTACAAGATGTATCGAGATGCGCAATCTGCGCCTAAACGGACACCGAACTCGCTTGCGTCGGCTTGGCCCGCTTCTCTTCGTCCGGAGCATAACCCGGCACGTAATAGTCTTGAATGTAGATGAAAGACCCGCTGCCCCCATATTCGGCGGGGACTATCTTAAGGTCGACGTGGGGAAGGAACGTGTCCGCCAAATTCTTGGTTGTACAAAAGATAATCTGCAGCAAAAGGGTAGAAGGTATGGTGAGAGAGAGGTAGTTACTCTGAACGAAAGGCTTGTGATGACACTTACTGTGGAGTCCTGAGGGTACTCTGATTCTGAGGCTCTAGGTTGATCTTATGCAGGTTTCCAGCAACCGCAAAGAAACATCGCATCTTGATGCGAGTCAATTGAAAGATCAAGGGTGACACCTCTGCTGAACGCAGGCAGCTGCAAGAAAGCGAGGCATTGAAGACCGTCTACTTTTCTTGGACGCAACACTGCTCGTTAACATCAGCGAGCATCTCCCGGCCTTCTTATTGTGAGGAGCTTTGGGGTGTTGCAAACCGTATGTCAAATGTTTTCAGCGGGTTTAAGGATCTACTTGGCAAGTTCAAAGAGGACCTCAAGCTTCACAGCTGCGCAGAAAGACCCCAGAATACGGTCCGGCAATTTCGTTGGGTTGCTTTCCCACGTCGCTCCAAAAGTGTCTGTGCGCGCCCAATCATTCTCAGAAACGTTCCCACAACCTCCGGCTTCCTGTCTCGCTTCTGCGCCCACCTTTTTCCGCGTCCTCGCGTCGATGAAGGGGCTGACGACCTTCCAGATCGTGCCAAAGATGAAGGGAGCGTTCAGAAAATAGAGCTTGGACAGCCTCTCGGGATAGTAGCCCTGCGAAAACAATCACCAGATCATTATGGCGAAACAAAGAAACAAAAAGTCAGAAACAAAAACAAACTTACAAAATTTCTGGACAAGGGAGGGCGAACATGTTGGGACGAGCCGAAGATGAAGGGGGCCATTAGGGTCCGTATCGATCAAAAAGTGGTCGGCTGATCCACTCACGAGACGTGGCACTTCCCCAGCAATTGTTTGCAGACATTGCAGAGACGCGGGTTTGACCTGCCACGCTGGGTTGACCAAAACTCCCCAGCTAACATTTGATGCGAATTCTAGTTTTATCTTGGGAAACGGGTGAAAGTTGCGGTGGTTATGCAGGAGTATGGAGATTGTCAATGCTCGTTCTTCCTGTGCTTGTAAGTCAGAAACAACAGCAGCCCTCCAATAAACACGTCGTCGACACGGGACACTTGGAAAACATCAAACAATCTTTGAAGTGAGAGTAAGATCGGGCCTTGAAGAACCGGAAAGCATACCTCGACACAGGAAAACGAGGAATCGAAACAGCACACAAAGCATGGTTGAATGTGGCCAACGACTGCCCAGCCTATCCCCGCATGCGTAATAAGAAGCGGAGTGCGAGAGCTCAGTGCTGGACGAGAAAAAGGAACGGACAAAGACGGAAAAGCAAAAGCATTTCGGAGCGGTTCATGCTCGCCTCACCTGAAGGAAATCGAAGATGTGACGGAGGGCGGCCGAGTCGAGGTTTGAGTAACCGATGCCCGTAAGGTCCAGGAACGAGACAAATTGCTCCACGCCGGGGGGCATGCTGCATATGCAAGAGCATTTGTCTTGTTTTGGTTGACATGCAGTTCTGAGGCTGGGTTCCAAAGCCCCCTGACACAATCCAATCAATCGTTTCTAGAGTACAATGTCCTCAGAGATATCTCCAGAAAAGGAGCCCTCTATTGGGTCGGAATAAATATGAAAGAAGCCCTCAAAGTTCACAGGGTTGTGTGAATCCTGATTCACCAGAACTTTAGCTCATGCAAGTTTTAAGATGGTACATGCAAATACAAGGCCAGCTCTTGCATTCATTGCCAACGATCTGGGAGGTCAGAACGGTTGAGACACTCACGCAGCGATAATCTTGTCCAAAGAATACACAAGGAACCCTGCACCGAGTGTATAAAGGTCAGTTCCATCATGTGAGGCACGCTGGGGCATGCCTTAAAAAGCACCAGCAGCTTCACAAGCATTCCAATTAAAGAAGAGCACAATCAAGTGAACATTTGGAACATCAAAGCAAGGGACTATAGACAGCCAGCGGACGGTGCAGGAGTGCAAGCAAAAAGGTAGAAGAGGGGCACTTCCGATGCAAGTCACTTTGGTAGCTTCAAAACCTGGCGGGCTGGAGCGAAGCTTGCTCACTCTTAAACTCCTCAAGATCCCTCTTAGCCGCTGCATGAGAAGACAGGAATCAGTCGCAAACAAACACGAAGGTAGAGCACTGAGAGAGACCGCATAGAGACCAAGTTGACAAACGGTCGGGCATCCATTTCGTGCTTCCTGTCTTCTGCAACTTAGATTTCAAGCGCAAAAGCGCCATTGATGTTTGTATGAGGAACCTGCCGGTTCTTTAGGCGCAGCAAGTGTCACAAAACCTGTACAATGGACGCGTAGGCGATCGCAAACGGTAGAATGTTGTGTGACCAGTCTGAGAAGCGTCTAGGATACCACCTTGGTGAGGTTTGCCAAAGGGGGAGCCGATTGACGGCAAATGCCCCTTTATGCAACTGTCAGATATTAAAGGCCACGTGTCAGTACCATGTGGTAGGATGCAAGCGCTGTTGTTTGGTGCACGCCAATCTGACCTATGTGGTACTTTGTGCAGCCGATCGACAGCGGGTGACCCTCCTTGTCCAACCCCTGCAGGGTTGCCTTCTTTGCGGCCAGCTCGTTTGCGACCTCGTCCTCACTGATGTACCCCTTAGGACAGAATGTCTTGCGAAAGTTCTGCAAAGGGAATGTGTGCCAAAGCATCAGACCCCAGCGCGGTCAAGTTCTTAAACTTGGGTCAAGAGTGAGTAGACAAGCTGCCTCATCTTTGCCTTGCATGCCGTATGGAGTATAGACAAAGGCACTGTCAAGACAGTCTCGTGGAGCATTCTGCATGTTTTCCAATGAGGACTTGCAGAAAGGAAGAGAAAATTTCGGTGAGCGCTGAGAAGGGAAAGTACAGATGTACATGCGAAAGACGGAGAAAGCTAAGAACAGCACTTTATTTCATCGGTGCCGGATGTCCCGTTGTGACAACTGATCAGCCCAACCCCGAGGAGTCGTCGGGTTCGCAAAAAGATGATGCAAGTTTGTTTCTCTTCCTGACAAGCGAAAAAGCTGTGCCGACGGTCTGCTGTGTGGTCAAAGCCAACGTTTCAATCATATCCTCCTTGATTACAATCATCAGAGCCCGCTTACTCAGAGATCCCAACCGAATTCGTTTGTGAATTGAATTAAGTAAGCAGATCTCAGCAACAGCAAAGCCTCTTCAACTTGCCAACTGGGCCAGACTTGGTAAATGTAGTCATATACGTGCATTATGCATCCAAACCTTCGACAGGACTCCATTTAGTCCATAATGCAGGTTCCAAGATACAAGTTCCAACAAACCCTTCGTTTCTGACGAAGTATCAAACGCCTTCTACTTATGAAAGTACTTGCCATCACATAATGCCACCACACTTTGGTTCAAAGCAACCGGCCAGCTCACAGCATTATGACCTTAGCAAGGGTTTACACTTTTCCTTAAAGCCCTCAGTCTCATTGCCGATTCAAGCCAGGCACCGTATCAGAAGAGGTTTACTGGCCAGGCCTTTGCTTCAGCTTCACTGCAGAAGCTACATGTCTGGCACTTTTCAGGATGTCAGACTGCATCATCTGATTTATCATATCATCACTGTTCATAAAATCTGTTGATAACCTGGCAGTTGTCCTTAAAAATCACAGACTTCCTCTGATGGATTGCACCAACTCCCACGCAGGGATCCCCCTACTTTTCTCCACTTCCTAGTGAATCGCGAGTACTTCTTTATTTGATCTAAGATTCTGAGTGGTCTCTCGTGTCAAACCCACAAGCTGACAAAAGTTCGCTCTGAACGGTATGAAGATGTGGTCGGTCTACGACAAGGAGCATCGCAAGAGATTGACGTTCTCACCTCATGATCCACAAACAGCTTTGATGCCTTCTTTACGTTGTTACTCCTCGCCCGCAAGAAGCGCATCAAATCGGGCCCCTTGTAAGCGTCTCCCGACAGCCCCAGATCTGTGATCGCTTTCCGCATCTCACTCAACAGAGCCTCTACCTCCTGTCCTAGAGAAGAGTCGCTCGCATCGTCAAAGCTCTCCTCTCCGACTCCCGGCTCGTCTGGTCTGAAGCCGGTCTCCTCTTCTGACCTTGCAAGGCCGTTGGCATCTGCTTTCGGAGGGCCAACTTGTGCACCGTTTGCCACAACATCGCCCATAGCGACTACTTCTTTTTACAACGCTTTCAAATCCAAGTTCCCGGCAGGTGGTGTTTGCTGTCCAGAACGGGTGTGATAAAAAGGACAGCTCCTGAACCAAAAACAGCATGCGGCGCTCGAAGAAATTTGTTTTCAACTTCAAGTTCAAGTAACAAGGACCACGAAATGCATATCCTAGGGCCAAGACCTGAAATCGGCAAAAGCAGCAGCAGGCTGGCAGCAGCATTCTCAACTTTCAAGCCCCTTGGCCCTTGGGTTAGGAGACCCAAAGTTTAAGTAGGAACCGTCATGGCTAAGAGATGGTTAGCGAGGACTCTGGTTAGCGAAACCCAACAATCAAGGGGTCCCCTATCCAGCATGCGCTTTGAGCTAACCTGACTGGATCGCTACCTAACCTATTTGAGGGCTCTTGCAGCCGTTTGTGGATTAGGACCCTAACCCGCCCTAACCCTTGCGTCACAATCTCAGGTACAAGAGCCAAGAAGCCTCAGCGTATCACGGCGCAGGAAAGTGCCAGCTAGGACTTGCAGCAGAATCTGGATTACAAGATTCTGGGCTGTGAAAAGAGCCCACAGAAGCGTAGAGCCTCGAACCGCTTTCTTGGCAGCAACAACTTGAAGTGCAGGGCTTTCGAGTAATTTCCTTGTCTTTTGGGAAGCCCCACCACGCGGGGTGCTTACTGTTTGAGGGCGCTTATCAGAAAACTGAGCGGCATACTCCCGTTTTAAGAAGAAACGCAGGGAACGCATGATGGCGGCTGGTGCAGCTATCAGCGTTGTCAGCAGCAGGCTCGCTGTGCCTGCGTCTCATTGCCAGCTGCGGAGAGTGGACAATGCTCCTTCATGCTTAGGGAATGATGCTGCTAGCTTTGTGTTACCGGTTCTGACTTCAAGCAGAAGGACCAAGCAGAGCGGGATTCAGATGGCACAGGCAGGAGCGGTGCAGGCGCCTGACTCGACCACTATGTATGGTAAGTTGCTGGCATTTTGTTTGATTTGTGGAACAAGGTAACCATGGTTGTATACAACCTAGAAATTGATGAACTCCAGTGCTTGCAACCTGTTGCCTATACTACATCCTATCTGCGTGCAATGCTGTCTACGATAATTTCATCCCGCTCTGGCATCTGAAAATGCATACCATCTGTTTTCTTCATTGCCGGTCCTTCACATTGACATTTGCTCTCTGAAACAACTTTCGCTAGCTTCTACTTCGTGTCAGTGGCGCACGTCTGTCTGCCTTCGTCTAGTAGATAGGCATCTCGTACTGCGGTGATTGATTGTGGCCGCATTTCCACTGCCAACGCTTTCTCTGGCATCGCTCTGTATTTGTTGTCCTTGTGCAATGCCGAAGTCCAAACACTTAAGGCTATAGATGCTAGCGTACCCAAAATGATATATTGTTTACCCTAGAAGTCCTAATTTGCCCTGTTGCTCTACTGCTAATGGGAGCTGACAAACCCTAGCTTCAAAACTTAGAGCTTGGTATTCGGCGCCATCTAGAGTGCATTCTCACAGCTCTCCCAAAACCGCCATACCTTGTTAGTGGGGTTGCTGGTTCGTCGTGCATCCTACACAAGGAAGGATAATGGCAGTTGGACCTTATCATCGGCGTAGATATTGCTATCAGGCGCTCATAGAAGGTGGCATTGTAAGCAAGACTCAAACAATAGAACAGCATTAGGAGTGTGCCACCTCGTGCTGGTCCCTAAACAAAATCACCGATGTGGAAGAATTCAGGAACTTGGGAGCGAAAAGAGAGCACGGCTGGGGGCAATTGAAACATACAAAGAACAACGTTCGGACCGTCTAAATGTCTGTCTGGGCTACTTGGTAGCCATTAGCAGATAGGATTTGGGAAAGAAGACAACTATCGGAACGCGCAATCACAACTGAAACCTTGAGCTTCTAGTCTCGATTTCGCTGCTCTCCTTCGAGCCATGAGCTACGCTACGCTTTCTTGAGGTCTTCCTGCAGATTTTCATTAGTACTCTCTGCAGTCAGTGAAACCTTCTCGGTTCTGCACCAAATTACCTTGATGAAAGTAGGAGCGAGTTTTTCTGTTGCATCCCTGCAGCTCCTCGCCAACCGTACTGCGAGTCGATCTATAAAACAATCCGCCGGCCAACCCGGACGATCATGATCGGCAACATCGCAGTCGGCAGCGAACATCCAATCCGCACGCAGACCATGACCACCACAGATACCAAGGACGTGAAAGGTACTGTTGATCAGGTGAGATACCCACATAGTGCTGAGAATTGCATTGCTTCTTGCATTTCACCGGTCAACAGCTGCGTTCAAAGGAAGTGCGAAAGATCTTGTTTTTCCTGTCCGTCTAATTGGGATCAGTTATGCAACAGAGACTCTGTTTGATGTCAACCGCTTGCCTGCTGGCCCTCGCAATTTGGAGGTTGGTCAGCAGAATGAAGCTTTCGACAGGGGATTTATAGCATTGTGGTAGTTCTGGGCTGCCTTAATGGCTGCAGCTTCGCAAGTTGTCATAACCGTGAGAAGAAGCATCATCTTTTGTTAGCTGCCAGATTTTAGGTACCAGATTTTGACTCTGTGACGTTCTGCGCAGGTCATGAGGATCGCAGACAACGGCGCCGACATCTGCCGTATCACTGTCCAGGGGAAGCGGGAAGCGGACGCATGCTTGCAAATCAAAGAAACTTTGTTGAAGCACAAGTGAGTGTGGCGCCCGACATATGGACTCTTCACTAGTAGTAGCAGCAGCCGCCTGGAAAAATCGAACGGTCAGACAAACTGGTCCTTCTAGTTCTGAAGAGGTACGTAGAGGCTCAATCTCTCTGTCAGGCGGGGAATCCACAGTGTTGACGACCTCAACCCAGTTGCTTCAATCGGCCGGAGTTTGGTGGTTGAATGTTGGACCAAGTTGATTTGCTTTTGAGAGATGAGATGAGAGATGGGAGATTTTTTTATGGGAGATTTTCACTCAAAAGTGCTTTGTTCCACTTCTTTCCAGCTACGAGATCCCTCTCGTGGCCGACATCCACTTTGCCCCCACTATCGCCAACCAGGTTGCAGAGTGCTTTGACAAGATCCGGATCAATCCCGGCAACTATGGTGAGACACCTTTTGAGATCTTTCTCCGGAAGAGTTTGGGCTGCACTCTGGTTACCATTCACTCGTGTGCAGAGTCCAATGTTTATTGCTGGAAATGTGTCTCTCACACCTCAAAAGAACTAAGGGTCGCCATGAATTTGAACCCATCTTCGTCAACCTGAAAGATCAAATTGTTGCCCTCTCTCTTTGGCTTTGCTCTGCGTGACCAATGCTTTGTTGCAGCTTGCATGCTACATAAGACCTGACTTGTAAGACTTTCTGTGTTACGTCGTGATTTGCAGTCGATGCGAGAGCACAATTTAAGGTGCAGGAGTGGACTGACGCAGAGTACCAAGCAGAGCTGGAGCACATTGAGAAGGTAAGTACACCATTCTTGGACAGTCTCTCTCTGTATCGCGTCCCTTTCGGCAGTCTTTTTCATTCTTGCAACACAGGCGGAGAATTCGTGGGTTCGTACTCGCCGTGGTGCTGAAGTATTTGTTCATCACGTTTTCTTTTCCTTATTGATACGATTGAGTCTGCAGTCTGTACGGCTGTAATCGATTAGAGCACGTCTCGATCCTTTGCATTAATCAGGTCAAGGCGCTTGCATAGCTTCATTCGGCGAAGAAATTCGGGCCTCAAACGTGTTACAAATGTTGGTTTGCGAAACTGTCTGTCGCCATCCCCAGGTATTCTCAAAGCTCGTCGAGAAGTGCAAGCGCTTGAACCGTGCGATGCGGATTGGCACCAACCACGGGTCTCTCTCCGACCGCATTCTCAACTACTACGGTGACACGCCCCGGGGCATGGTGGAGTCGGCGTTCGAGTATGCGCGCATCGCTCGCAAGATGGACTACCACAACTTCCTCTTCTCGATGAAGGCCAGCAACCCAGTCGTTATGGTCGAGGTGAGGCCCGACTGGCGTTCTCGCAATTTTGGAGGTGGAGCATGATTATCTTTGCCCAACTAATCGCTACAATTAAAATCCATATCAGTCGGAGGGAATGGAGAGCATGCAATCAACCTCCGTTGAAGGATCCGACTAAGAAAGAAAACTGCGGACTTTTTGTGTGGACGGCTAAACGTCACGAAGTGCACTCTCCAATCCACTCTACGAAGCACAGGCCATTTACAGAGCCCTCCCGCTGGATATCAGTGGCTGCCCAAACGAATACGCTTTGGACCTACCCAATGATGGATCCCCTTATTTTACTGTCCTCTTGAGATGGCATCACCAAACGCGTGCTCAAAACTCGTCAATCTCGATTGAGTTACCAACATATTCTTCTTGCCTCAGGCATACCGGCTATTGGCGTCTGAGATGTACCTCAACAAGTGGGACTACCCTCTGCATCTAGGCGTGACGGAGGCTGGAGACGGTGAGGACGGGCGCATGAAGTCGGCGATCGGGATTGGGGCGCTTCTGCAGGTAAACTTTGTCACTCTAGTCTGTTAGAATTGCAGCCCAGAAGAGATCAATCGAGAGTTGGCTGGGGGAAATCTTGGAATGTCAGTTGTGCAGGGGTTGGACAAAGCTCTGTCAAAAGGCATGCAGGTGAAAGGGGTGGCCAGACGATGTGCAAGTCAGGAGCTACAAGCATCACTTCTCTCAGGCGATTCCCAAATTCTAGACCGTCTTCCCTCTATTCTTCTAGACCCCAAACGGTTTACGCCCTCTTCCTTGAAATTTTCAAACAGTTTGTACCCTTCTCTTCTACACTCCAAACGGTGTGCACCTGTCTCTGCTAAATGTCAAACCGTTCAGACCCTACGCTTCAGATTTCCAAACGGCTGTACCGTACCCTGCTGAACCTACGTAGATTCTTCACCTACTCCTCTCCGACAGTGAAAGCGTTACAGCCCGCTCTTCCAAACCATAAAGGGTTACACCGTCCTTTCTTGGACTACAAATGTGGAAAACTTCTTAACCAGCATTTTAACCACGGTGTTGCGCTGCTGTAGGACGGGCTGGGGGACACCATCCGGGTGTCGCTCACGGAAGATCCCGAGCTCGAGATCGAGCCGTGCACGAAGCTGGCCAACTTCGGGATGCGCAACGCAAAGCTGCAGAAGGGCGTGGTGAGTGGTGCCCCAGAGAGCTGTGGGCAACGGATGTTTTCCGTTGAGAGTTTTGGGTTCGTGGCACTGCTTCAGTGGATGCGAAAAAGGTGAATGAAATGCGAAAACGGACTTCGTCGGTGGATCGAAGCTTCGTCGGGCCCAAGCGACCGAAGTGAGAACAGCAGGACCCAGTCAACACGAAGGAACTCCAGAAGTTTCTGCTGCCTCGTAAATACCAAAACCAGGTGCTTTTCTCGAAGTCGTTTGTGTCCACTTCTGCAGGAGCCCTTCGAGGAGAAGCACCGGCACTACTACGAGTTCCAGCGAAGGTCGGGCGATCTTCCCGTACAAAAGGAGGTACAATACATCTGTCCCGCTCTCTTCTTTCACTTCGTAGGTTATTCTGGTAGACATGGCTGTTGCGGACCCTTCTTCTGCTGTCCCCATCCTTCACTCTCAATTTTGGTTGTGAACGCAAGGCCGTGAGGTGCATCCACCATGAACCTGATATACGTCATGTCCGGATGTCGAGATCGGTGTACCCGAAGGAGGTCTTATTACCTCAGCAATGGCTTTCAGCATGCTGGTTGCGATTGACTGCTAACAATATTCTGCGTCCAGCTAATCCCATCTGCGCCTTGAATCTGTCATTGTACAATGTTGGGGAAGTTGGCTGGGAGTTGAGAGGGCCAAAATTGAAATACTCGCGCTTCGAGTAATAGGGGGAAGGATCAATGCATTGACTCCACTTTCAGCGGGAGGCGCCGGTCTTGCTTTGAGAAGCTGACGTCATTGTTTTTCCTGCAGGGTGACAAGCTGGACTTCCGGCATGTCCTGCACAGGGACGGCTCCGTCATTGCCGCCATCACCTTGGACCAGATAAAGGTGAGTCGATGACTTGCGCAAACGGGACTCCTTTTCTTGAAAGCGTCCTCATTACCCAAGATTGTCCCCCGCAATGCTCGCTTGACATTGGTCTCCTTTGTTTCTCAAAAGACGTTCAATTGAGCACGCTCTGGAAGAGACGCTGCCCTAAGCAGGAGGAGCCTGTGAAGGCGGAGCCAGATGCATGATGGAAATTGTGCCCCTCTGAACATACATGGCAGTACACTGAACGGAGCATACCTTGCCAACCAAGACGAAACCGAGAACATCCCTCGTTCCTGACCGAAAGCTTGTGTCTCGTTCTATCTGATCGAATCTTTCTTTGTCCCTCGAGAGTTGTGGTCCCCTCCAACCTTTTCCCTCCAACCTCGCTTTGTCCAGTACGCCTGGATCTCTTTCTGATTCAGAACAGGTTACTTAAGTACCTGCTTCATGGGAAAGAAGAAAGAGCTGTCTTGCCACAATGTGAACTTTTTCTGCTTTATTTTGCAGGACTCGAAGAAGCTGTATAAGTCGCTGCAGTGCAAGGACGCGTTGGGGATGCCGTTCAAGGGCATTGACACCGTTGACACCCTGTTCCTGCGAAAAGTGCCTCCGCAAGAAGACAAGACCGCTGTGAGTGTCGGACCTCAGATTCTTTCTTGTCGTGAAATGCTCCAAAAATCGTCAAGCGGAACTCAGAAGGGTGGGAAAACCGTGCCTGATCTCAAATCCATCTGCAGCAACTGCTCTACAAAAGTCACGAGCCGACTTGCACAAGTTTGTCCATCTGCATCCAGACACTTGCAACAGAAGTCTGCCGCGCTGCACAGTTGTTGACCGTTTCATAACCCGTCTTCTAACCTAAAGGCAAACACTTTCGCTCGTTGACCCATTACAATAAACCGTCATATATTCAGCGGCAAACCCTGCGGCGACTGCAAACGGCGGCCCCTGCGGACGGTCTGGGCCAGGCAGGCCTGGGCATTCTGGTGCCCATCGCAGAGCTGCTGAGCAACCCGCTACCCGACGCGCTCGCTCTCCTCAGCCTGCGAGAGGTCGAGCAAGGCTTGCTGGCTAAGATCCCCGAAGGTGAACCTTATATTCTCGTTCCTCTCCCGCTCCCTTGTTGTTTTCTCCTGCTTCTCTTGTGCATCTCCCACGCTTCCATCCCTCTCTCTGATTGACGGCTTCACTCGTCAGCTGTAAGCGAAAAATCAAGGATTGATCTTTCTTGCGTAGGCCTTGGCGTTGACGGAGTGAAAATGAAGTGCCGCTTTTCAGTTTCGGTTTCGGCCCTTCCGATCAGCAAAGAGCTGGACGATTTGGAGAAGTCCGGGGGAGCTTTGCACACATCAAAACCCACACGATTAGCAGCCATAAACCCGTTGGACCTGTCGCGCTTTGCTCACGAACAAGCGCGGCGGGGTGAGGTTGCTAGGGTGAAGTTCCTAACCTCAATTTTTGAACGCAGGCTCTCGGCCGGCCATCACGCTGGATGGCTCCGAGACCACGGCCCAGCTGGAGGCGCTCAAAAACATCGACGCCATGTTTCTCCTCATTGACGTGCCCGAGACCGACTCCGCCAGCAGGGTCCATGCCTCAAGAAGGTGCGCATAATCGGACGGGGTTTTTGAGGGGGCCAGGAATGATGTTTAGTGCGGATGTCTCACGCATCGAGAGAGTCTGGATCCCAAATGGTACGCTGGTTTCAGAAATGCAGGCCCCAACTTGGTCAGAGCTGCCAGGAACTTGCCGCCTGATTGGTGTAGGGCTGTCCGTTCCCTAACGGTGCTGGGAACTCAAAAGATCGCCTTTCGTGCTTTGAGTTCCTGAGAGACTTTTCCGGATGAGAGCGTCAGCGCGTCAGTGTGAGGGCATCAAGAGAGAAACTGGGCGTCTAAAAACGCTCAAGACGCTTAGGGTGGGACGCAAGATGTAGATCCTCAACAATCTAGGTCGTCAACGCGGAGCTAGGAAGATACTTCTGATCCTGAGAAACGGCCATTGTGAGAAAGACGGCAATTCTGTTTGCATGTCGCCTATAGTGGTGTAAACTTTCGTGACAGCTTGCAGAAGGTTATGCCCCAGAAAGAACTTGAGGTCCAACCTCGTGAAATTATTGAGAGCCGTCTTTTCGAGACGGTAATCTAAGCGAGCAAGCCACACTATGCTCGACTTATCAAGGCTGCTTGTAAGCACGCGACGCTTGTTGATCCTACTTAGCACAAGGTCCGGAGCTGTCCTGACCGCCCGTTTGTGGTGCGCTCTCGCAGGATCTTCGAGTTCCTGCAGTCCAATGATCTCAAGTTCCCGGTCATCCACCATCTGCAGTTCCCTGAAGGCACAGACACGTGAGCCCACCGCTCTTTGTTCTAACAAGGTGGTTTAAGATATTGGTCTTCTTGATATGTTGTGAAGACAGGGGGTGCTAGCATGGCTGGACCTGCGTTGTCTGCACGTTGGAAAGCCTTAGCCCCCTCAGTAATCTGTATTCTCTGCCTCGGGGGTTTGGAAACCTTTGCTCTGTTTCGATTCGTCCTAGCATTATTATTCCAAGCGCGCTGCTGTTTTAGCGCAATCTCCTTCATCGAATGTGCCACTATGTTCTGAAGTACAACGTTTCCGGCAGAACCTCAGGTTTTCCGTGCTCTTGTCGCCGTTTACTGTGAGCTTATACTGGTCCGCTCGTATTTTGCAGGGACGACCTTGTTCTGACCTCCGGCAGCGAGGCAGGCGCCTTGTTGGTAAGTGCCTTCACCTTCTTAGTAATTCCGCCGACATTCTCTTGCGTATTGTCCCCTGCAATCTTCACATTGCGACATAGGTCCAACTCGGAGACAAGGGGAGCGGGGCGATCCCGACTATGTATCTATTTCTGGATAAGCCGAACTGCAGACTTGGTGGGAAACGACCCACCCAAGTGTGCGATTCAAAAAATTTGCGGGCCTCTTTCAGCAACCCTGTTTACGTTACAAGCTTTCGAGTAACTCCTATGGAGCTCGAGGTACTGATTCTCATCTCTTCCCGCAGGTCGATGGTCTCGGTGACGGTGTGATGATCGAAGGCCCCCAGGACCTCGATTTCCTGGTGCGGACGTCGTTCGGCATGCTGCAGGGCTGCCGCATGCGCAACACCAAGACGGTAAGTGCTTCAGACGCTGATCTGGACAGTGGTTTGGAAGTGATCTGGACAGTGTTGGCGCCGTTCGTTTTCGAAAAGGCCAAGTCTACTCCCGACATGTCCAGAATGAACGTGATGGCGTGATGTTCTGTCTCGCCAGTGCTTTGTCAGTTGGATATTTTTTAGTCCGTGGAACCTTGATCCAATCTCTTCAACTTTTCAAAGTGCGGTCTGCCGCCGACGCCAATTTCCCTCCTTTTGCCCCACCCTTAAGGTTTCACACTGTCCAAATTCCGACCAGACTCGCTCACGAGTGCTTTACAAAGACCCCCTACGTCTTGAACACAGTCCCGGGACTGGGTTTCTAAATTCTCTTCCTAGTCGGCAGTGCAGGGTCTCTAAGTCTCGCGTGTACTGATCACGTTTCACCACTTTTGTTGCTGTCCGGGCTAGCCTCCTGATACGGCCCCCCTGCTGCGCCAAAATGGTTCCGGAGGGTCCGACCTCACACATCTGCTTGGTCTTATATCTAGCCTTTCATCCTTTGAAAGTTGTCACGATCCGCCACGACCGCTTCTTGCGCAAGCGCTTTTCACAAACCCGCTGCCGCCCTCTCCCTTAACCGGCTTTGGACTTCATTCGCCCAAGCTCCCTTACAGGCCCTCTTCTGAATCTAACCTCTTGAATTTCGTCCTCTTACCGTGCATCTCCGCCTTGCAGGACTACGTCTCGTGCCCCTCGTGTGGCCGCACGCTCTTCGACTTGCAAGATGTGACCGCCGCCATCCGCGCAAAGACGAGCCACCTGCCCGGTGTTGCGGTGAGCCATGCCAGCCTTTCTGAGTTGCCTCGTACCACAGGATGAGGCGACCCAGCAGATTGCCATCTGTCTCATACTTCGGTGCATGCATAGCTGTGTATGCAGAAGGGCAGGAGAACTTGGCCTTTCCATGTCGTAATATCGGTTCCAAATTTCCATGTCGCAATATTGGTTCCAAAACAAAGTCAAAATGCAAGATACCGAACGGGATTTGCTCGTAGCAATGTCACCAGCGGATGCCCATAGGCCGCCCATGGCTGCCTCCCAATCATTTTCGGTCTGAACAAATTCCGTCCAACGGCGCACAAACGGTCACAAAATTTCTACCCTGGTCCAAGTAGCCTGCTTCATTGAAAAGTAGAGCGGCCGCCCGGGTTTGGATCATTTAGCCATTGAGGAAAGATGCTTCCCAGAAGTTTTGAACTCGTTGAGCGCTTGCCCTTCTCACGTGAGTTTCTGTCTCTCGCAGATTGCAATTATGGGTTGCATCGTGAACGGTCCTGGAGAGATGGCCGACGCCGATTTCGGCTACGTCGGCGGAGCTCCCGGAAAGATCGACCTGTACGTCGGAAAGGTGAGCAAATGCGCGGATCTGTTGAGAATGCTTTCCGTTCTTTCGTGCGTATGTCTATGCGTTGTAGATCGTCGTACAAATCGTAATGCCCGCTTATGGAAGCCAGCTCCAAGCTGACCGGCTTCTTTGCGCATCAGCTGGGACCGCAACAGGGGCTACGAACCTCGAGCAATGCTGAGAGGAAAGCAGCTTAGATTTGGATCCGGCCCGTTTTGGACGGCAAGGGCCATCGACGAAAGGTAACCTGTTGTGACAGCCCAGACGCTTTTCTGTCGATTACGACGGACACGTGTTTTCTGCCCGCAACAACCGTCCGCTCAAAGCACCGGATTGGCGCTCAATTCGTGCTTTTTTTGGGTCTTCAGGAGGTTGTCAAAAGGGCGATCCCCATGGAGGGAGCCACGGATGCCCTCGTTCAGCTCATCAAGGACCACGGGCGATGGATAGACCCTCCCAAGGAGGAGGAGTAGGTGAAAGAGAAAAAGGAAGTAGAGTCGCTGAAACGTCTGTGTTTGTGTTGACGTGCGCGCTTGAGAAGCGCATGTCATCTTTTGATCATTTGACCGAGTTGCACCTAGCATAGGCTCCGACTTACATGAGAGAAGGAGCCTGCCGGGAGTGAACATATTGGTGGCCCCGTTTGGAAAATCGGATCCTGCCAGAGGGTATAGCTCTCGGAACCGTCCAGACCCAACCGCAGTTCGAAAGTCGTCAGAGTATACCATAGCCCTGTCGACGTGCAACTTAAGCTGCTTTAAGCATCAAGCCCGTTGCGATCCAGTGCGAATGTTAAAGTGCGGCATAATAATCTGGTTCTCTGAAGTCGGAACGCTGGTTCAAGTCTAAGTTGTGGGTTTAGGAAGTTGACGACTGTAGAGTTCGACATCTTTGTGGGCTTTGCATGTTTTTACATCCCCTGAACCAAGAATCGAGGACATAAGTCAATGCTGCATTTGCAAAGCGATCATTCAATAGGTTGTTGCACAACGCGGCGCAATTTATATGGACCTCGAGCGGGTGTGCGCTGCCAGGGACGCGTCATGTAACAGCACTTCTGCCAATGATGCAAAATGAAGCTGACGTGCTCAGCGGCTACCGCGACTGAGTTCATTGTGTCGATCGTAAAACAGAACAATATGCATGTGAACTTCGATCGGAAGTCCTGTTAAGATATAGGCATCACATGTCACTGTGGTCTGCGCCAGATATCGGCCGGCCAATTAACTTGATCCGATCTTGTCATGCATGTCCGAGATCGCGGCCGCCTAGTCCGGCAATGTCACTGTAATGAGGACTCAGGAGTGCGTCGTGCTTAAGCGAGAGTCAACCATGCAGTGGCTCCAATCACACTCAGGCGTATGTTGAGACGACCCTCGCCAGGTTGTTCAGTGCATCCGCTGCGTGATAAGCGGGGTGCAGTAGCTTGGCCGGTAAGGCAAAAACGGGCAATCCTTGCAATATCTAAACCTGCATGCGGGGAGCTGCTGAGCTCGACGATGGAGGAACCTGTGCGGGCAACAAACCGACTAACCTTTGGACCGCTAAGCGGCCCACGTATGTCTCTTGACAACGGTCGCGCGGCCGCTTGACTGATGTTGCTACGTGTGGCTGCTTAAGGGCGAGCACAGCCTGTTCTGTATCCGAATTTGGAACATCCTTGATTCAATTCGACATTTGTGATGCGTACCCTTTCTTATATTTGGATTATAAAGGCAAAGACTCTGAACTCAGTATAAATCTGGACGGCAACAGCTCTACTTGGACTGCTACCAGAATTATGGGAGCTTGATTGCAATGATGCCCGCATATGGCGATGAAACTACAGGATCAGCACCGCCTCTTTCGATTCGAAAGAAACTCTCGGGCGACAACTCCCAACACTACCGCTATGACGGCACCTTGCATCACCACGATCAGGATCGTCATCTTCAACTCGGTACGCGTCACGTCTCTATCCGACGAGGACTCCGGCAATTCTGAAAAGTACGATCGGAAGACTCTGTTATCCTGGTTCCGAGCTTCAACGAGAGCAGAGACCGCATCGTCACTTCGACAGCACGCGGGCACAAAGGAGCCGCCACGTCCGCAGGTGACGTTTTCGGTCATATAAGCGGCTGTGCACGAGCAATACGAGATCGAGTAGCCGTAGGATACGCAGGCGATCGAGCAGCAGCCCGGGTGCGTAAACGCCCCCGATGCTGCACAAGCGCCGCTCGTAGCGGTGCCGTTGCTGACGTCAGGAACAACTCGGCAGTCGTCTCCGGTCGTCAGCAGAGCGCGCCCGCCCCGCAGATCGCGGCGGCTGCTTCTCAGGCCGTGTTTCTTTCCTTCGGCCTCCTTCGCCGAAAAAGGAGGTGCTAATATCTGGAAAAAGGTATCGAGAATCGTGAATTGAAATAGGAGATGACACATGGATCTTATCAGACCTTGCAGATTTGCCAGCACTTTGTGGGACCCACGTTGAATCTCGTGCAGAAAGTTCACGCATTGCTATTAAATTGGCTTTGGAGCGGTCACCTCATCTGCATCAAGACCCAAACAATCACTCCGTGGCTGGGCTTGCACTGCGGCAGGTTTGCAGCAAAATATCAAGCTTAAGGAAGGAGTTCTGATCAAATAAATGACAAACAGCAAGTGACTCTTTTGGAGTCGGACCGAGGGACCTTTTGAAGATTGTTCAAGCACAGCCCGATCGGGAAACCAATGCAATGGTGCAAAGACAATCCCTTGATCATCACGATTGCCAAGTGTAAGAGACAACGCGAAGAGGATACGCAACCACGCGGAAGATGGGTTCTCCAAAACGTGGGTTTTGAGACCAGTGAGCTCAAAGCTAAAGCGGTCTCCTTTGACGACCTCTTTTCGTTGTATACATGAAACCCTCACCATACAGCACCGCTGTGGCGCTTCGCTGGATCCAGTTTCTTTGATCACCTCCTTTGTTACCTGATACACAAACCCAGCACATCCCCTTGTTCTGTCGCAACCTGCTATGGCGCAAGTATTCAGAGACGGGAGCACGTCCCCGGTTGCCTGATCCATGCACCGGGGCAGAACTACGCCCACAACGTTTGGCGGATCTGAGAGCAACTTTGTTTGTTCATCTTGGAAAGAGTCTGTGATCTGTCGGGCTTCACGACTGCTGAAGCTTGGCGGGTTGAAGGACATCACTAACAGAACGTCCGCTGCGATAACGGCCAAGCAGAGCAGCAAGAAGGGGAAGAGCGCTGGCCGGTCTTCTTCCATCGCTTCGGTCGAATGATGTCTTTACTTTTGATTGCTAGAGCTTGTGGAGGTCCGCCACCTCAGCCTGATTTTAGGATTGTTGCGCTGAACAAAGCATTTGCTACAAGCCGGTCCTCGATGTGCCCATGGGCATGCCTTTCGTATCAAACTGAGCCTTCATATAAACCACGGGTTTCACGTGGATTTTGAATGTTTGATTTGACATCTGGGTGCTCCAGATCTGGCTCTACTGAACTGATTGCGAACATTCAGTTCCGCTCGCTCAAATTCACGTACGAATGCAACCGTTTGTCAAGGTGGTTGCCCTTTATCATTATGCAACACGAAAACTTTCAATGCACTGCCTCTGTTGACTTTCGAACAGTCTACATTGACGACCCTGCGGTACAGCTTTTGCTGCATGAGACTCTTCAAAAGAAAAGTTGAAGCAGAGTTCCTGTCACGTCAATTGTTGCGGTACAGTCCCGCTCCGGCGAGCGTCTCAGAGCGATTCAGTACTCCCGTTCTGATGACGAGAAGCCAGTTGCGCAATCATATTCAAATCAGGAAACGCCCGGAGAGCGAGAGATAATTTCGCTTAGAAGTCAGTGAGTCAATAGAGGTCACAGAACTGAGTATGTCGGTGACGGGACGTCGATCGGGGAAATCTCGACTCCTACCCGAGTGCCCGATTAATTTCTCACTTTTGAATGTGCTTACGTCAACATGACATCGAGAGTACAGTGATGCGACGGTTCTTCAAGGCGCTGTTGCGTGATAACTCGTCTCAATGATTGAGATTGGCAAAAGACTAACGGAAGTCACTTCGCATAAGGACACACGGGATCCATCGCGCCATGGCAGCCACAAGTGCCTCTTTGGGCCGCTTATCTCAGGCGTACACTCATTGCCCCGCTTGGCGGCTCCATTTTCGCAATAGTGCCACGAGCTGCCCACTTAGGAGAGCGTTTCAAGCATGCGCATATAACCTGGCGTAGTATATGGGCCAACCTTTTGACGGCCCCAAATGAACTATTTAGTTATTACAAACAGCTCTCTTTATAGGACTCCAGAATGCGCGCAACCGCTGCATGGACAATGTGTGTCCCTGGCATATCTTCAGACGCAACTTGAAAGACTCAACTTTGGCCGGTAAAGAAATGTTCTCTGCTATATCCGGCGATCATTCACTGTTACGACCCATTTGAATTCCTTCTTTGCGTGCTACGAAGCCTTGACTAGAACAACACAAATGTCCTTCACCCCTGGATCCAACGGAGCCTAAAACTTCCTCTACTCCAAAAGCTATAGTAGACAGGACTTAAATTTTAGACTCTAGTATGACGCTTTGGTTATCACCCCTGATCACCTTCTCAATCGGACCACCCTTTTCCAGCTCGTATACCTAAGCACGCCAAAACCAAACCTTCCCATCTACTGAACTACTCAATCCCATTGTTTCACGTCCTGCACGTCCCGCTGGAGCTTCCATACGAGGCCGTACACGACGATACGCGTTCGCACAGCCCAGTAATACGTTGGCGGGCAGGAGCAATAGCCGGCTGCGTATATATACATCTGACCAGGTCCTGCGCAGGAGCTCTCTGTGATGATGATGTCATTGCTGACGTGAGGCGCGGATGAGCAGTCGGCTTTGCCAGTCCGCAAATTACATGGCAGCCACGCTGGCGCCTCTCAAGCGCTGATCCTCTCTGGGTCGGATACTTGGCGTCCCATCCTGAGCAGACAAGGAATCAACGGGTATGACTTGAAGGCTGCAGAGTGGACATGTTTGCTTTCGGTGATAAGGGCCCGTGTCAGCAAACGTTCTCTAGCTGTTGACGCAAGAGCGTTCTTCAAAGAAGAATGGACCGAATAGCCGTTCAAAGTATTGGTCATTAGTTCCTGATTTGTCTTGAAAGGAGCTTGACGGAGAAGGCAAAAGTTGCTGTCAAAATAGAGGAGAGGAAAAGTGAAGCGGTCATTTGATTGTGCAAGAGCGGTTCTCCTTCGAATCGAGTCCCTTCTGGAGGAACCAGCTGGTGTGTGGTGACAATGTTGCTTATTATCGATCACGATTACACCGAAACCTACTGAGCAAGTGGAAAGAAGCATAAGAACCGATGTATCCCCTAGCAGAATAAGCAACCCCGTCTTTTTGACATGACCAGGACGCACAGTGGAAATCAAAGCGAGCAATCAAGGGACGCATCCAAAAGTGACGTTGTCTGTCAACAGCCCACTGAACCTACACCTCTCAAAACTCCCCCCTTTTGCCCCCTTCCATCAATTCGCAGTTACCAATCGTTTCCTACCAACACGGGACAAGAACAGCACAGGCCGTATCAGCACAACGCCAGCACGACTGTCCCTTCCTAAGTTACATGGTAAAAGCACACCCAACCAAGCCTGGTTAGGCAATGGTTAGCTGCCCTTCTACCGGAGCAAACTGGTTGAGCGCTGGTGAACTTGGACAGGTTATTGAGCTCTGTTCTGGCGCGAACCTTCCTATGCTAGAAATGAATCTGGTTGACAATGCATGTAATGCATTCACCCATCTTTAGCAGCTTACCTCTCGCCATCGTTCCGCACCCCCCCGCGTAATTTCCACCTGCCAGCTGTCCTTACCCAACTTTCTTCCCCAACAGCTGGAGACTCCAACTTTACCAGGCAACATATCCCCAGCCTAACTTCGCTGGTTGCATGTTCCGCTCTCTGGAAAAGGGGAACAGCGCACGTCTCGTCTTGTTGGCAAGCCAAGACACATTCTTCTGGCGACGCGTCTGGGACTTCCGTATCGCCCGGTTCGCACCGCGCCGGGACCGACATACTTTTGGCTGGTACGTCTATGACTGCGTCTGATGCGTTTTGTTCGGGAAGAATGTCACTGTCAATGGTGCTGCTGTTTTCGGAGAAGTGAGTGTGACTTCGATGATCACGCACCGTCTCAAGGACGTAGTACTGTGTGCCCACTAAGAGGAGGCACCCAAGCAGACACGCAAAATGCACTTTACCGTCGATACCGTCATCTTCCATCTTCTTCTTGTTTACTTTTACCTGATCTTTTTGGGAGGAATGCTTCAAACGCAGACTAGCACACTGTTCTCACATTCTCAATTTCCTTGAAGGAGGGAAACTCTTTGAAGACCTAAGGAATGGCTTTTCTAGAAGGCGACCGCACTTCTCAATACGGCCCATGTACTGGACGGAAAGGAGCTTCTCACATTGCAGCCAGTCAAGAGGGGGCTCTCAGCTATGCTCTTTCGCTAAGGTCCCAACTTTTGACAGGACCTCAATGTAAAATGAGACCCCTTCTAGCCTGTTAAGCGAGATTCCATGTTGTCATTGCGTAGGGGGCTCCATGTTGCCATTGCAGAATTAGCATTCAGTCAGCATGAGTCCTGAGAAGCAAAGATAGACTTGCAAGCGGCCAGTCACGTCAACTTCTGACTGAAGCACGTCTTTTTCGGGGCCCTGCTTTAACGACCTGCCATATGATTGGAGACACCTTTTGGAAACCACTTTGATGTGACCAGCTCGAGTCCACGCACCTCTCACTGCCGGGGTTTGACTCCAAGCTACGTGTCCGCTTAATACGCCTAAAAGCTGAGCGGAGAACGGCATCGACTAAACGCCACCCGTAGAGCTCAGTCAAGAATTTCCCGGTCGCTGCCGAGTTCAGAAGAAAGCCTGAGCCTGAGAGCTTATGAATACTGTAAGAAGACTCGGGGGCCTTGATTGGTGCTACCGAGCCGGACAAGCCGGTTGCCTATAACAAGTAGAGTCGTAGCCCCAACCCAGGAGCCGGTGATGACAGCCTCACAGCCTGCGTAGCGAGGACTCTCTCTCGCGACCAGCATATATCGATGAAAGAGGAAAAGAGGTCGTCACCGCAGAGAACCATCATAAGGTTGTGCGTCAAGTTTCAGTTTCGTTCAAGGTGAACTACATTACTTGCTTTTGCAGTTTCGATTGTACTTGCAGTTCTGCTTGGGCGCCCCAAGCCTCAGTAAAGAAAGAGTTTCAAGGGTGGATAAGCGTCGACCACACACGGGGTTAATTTAGAGACCTCGCTCTTTGCCAATATCTAACAATGCACAGCAACAGCTGACTCAACGACGAGATTGCATCGGCAAAAGAAGCACGCGTACTAAGGTTGCATGATGACGTTGCTCTTTATGCAGCTCTTGCTGCGTGCTATAAAGCTGCTGCCGGCAGCCAATCAGGAGTACTACACGTATCTATGATTTTCAGGACTGCTCGTCGCGAACATCCCAAAAACCTGCATATGCCCTTAGTCCACAATTTGGGGCAGCGTACCTATTCTTTAGAGTCATATTCAGATTGAGTCACCATATTGCAGTTGTGTACTGTCATCGAGGCTCGATTCTCGGCAGTGAATTTCTGGATTCCCCGAGCGCTTTTCAATAATTGGTCATTAAATGGTTGGCGGTCGACGAGCGAGCCGAGTTTTGCTGGCACGAGTTAGGCAACGAGAGAGGGCGAGAAATTTGGAACGACTTGCTTATCATCCGATGCCGCAACACTCACGAGTCAGTTCAAGGATAGGTTCAACATTTAATCTTATGCTTTCAGGGAGCCATAGAAGGCGCTAAGCCGCAGCTTCGAGCGTCCCCCCTTGCTATCCTTCATGCTGTCATCCTCCAAGCACCTTAAGAAGGAAAGCGAGGACGCCGCAGCAGTTGAACCCTCTGTGCTGGCGGGCGGGCGGAATATGAATCTTGGGAAGCGGTGAGTGCGGAGCTACTGGTCTATTCCTCCTTGCATCATTTTCCCTTTGAACGAGCGAGAGGATCCCTGAGGACGTGCGCATTGGAATGATTTTTGCCATGCTGTGTCTCTGAAGGCACTTGCTCTTCAGAAACTTTCCCCAATCTGGTGGGACATATTCGGGAAACAAAGTAGCTGGACGCAAGGGGTATCGCTGTGAGTCGTCAGAGCTCATTGATGGCATCTGTATGGTGCTAAAAAGTGCGGAGTTTAATTTGCCAATTTTCAAGTTTAGGGTTTCATTTTTAGCTGTGAAAGATGAAGGTGCTCAGAAGAGTGTAACCACTCAGTCAAATTCTATGTTTCAAAAGTTGGGAGATGATGAAACAGATTGACCATTGCTTGATTAGGAGCGACTATCTTCTAGCAACAAAAGTGTGTGTTTTGTGCAGCGACACCACCCGAGGAGGTAATGCGCGAGCTGCTCTGTTCGATGGCCTTGAAGAGGGTGGCTTGCGGGCAGGAACAAGCTTCAGCACATCGGAAATAGCAGAGCAGGAGAATGAGAGGGGTTTGGACACGCTGGCGGACCGGGTCAGCATCCTGAAGAGGGTGAGTCAGGACAAGGGGAGGAATCAGCATAGCAAAGTGGTTTCACCAATTCTCAGAGGATTGCAGGCTGTGCTTCGAGGAGCCTACCTATATGTATAGCCCAGGATTGGGCTGCGCGGTCCGTTAGGAACAGGGTAGACGTTTTTGTGGCTGTCTCTCGTCGCGTCGTGGTTTGGGGACATCCCCGCAGCAAAGGCCTTCATGTGCCCTCAGATGGTTTTTGGATTCTATCTTATGTCTCTATCTCCTGAGATAGTCTTCTGCTCGTTGCCCTTGTGCAAAAGAGTCCTTTCAAGAAGTAGCGCATCCTGTGACCATACATACGTCTACCCGCCCTCAATGTCAGCATGCCCTTTTGAGAAAACTTGTGTTTACGCTGTCGGCTGAACATTACATCAGCGCTTCATTGCAGTCTGATGTTTCAGCTCCGGAAGCGTGGCATGGCCAACGGATCTTGACATTACTTGCAGCCAGCAATCTTCTTGATGCCAACATGCTCTTTGACCAATCTTTAGAGCCCATGATTTTATTTTGGGTTCATTTCCTTTCATTGGGCCAGTCTGTCAATATCCGACTTACGATCCATTTGCTCGGAGGTGCGGTCGTGCTCTTGTTTACTGCTGCGCTACGGTTCATTGTTAGCATGTTGTTCCAGCCCTCAGACCTCGTCCGTGGTGCCTGCAGATTACAACAGACATACACAGCGAGGCCGAGTCGCACCATTCGCTCTTAGACCAAATGGTGAGTACCTCTTCAGGACTCACTTGGAAGGTCGGCTTTGTAGTTGTAACAAATTTTCAACAACATGGCCGCCACGAATGTTAGGCCCCTGCTCGCAGATTTAAAAACGGAGAACACTCAGGAACAATTGAATGACTCAATATCAATTGGTGTGTGCCGGTCGGGATCAGGACGCTTTGTCTGTCTTTGCATGAGCTTCTGTGCAGCCAGGCTGTCCGGATCTCTATGAGGACGCTTGAGTGAGTCCAAATGAGAGGGCCACAAAACGTAATACCATCCATCCTAGCGGTCCGAAGTTTACAGCTAGGTCACTGCAGCTCAGCGTACCGAGTTTCCTGTGGAATGCATGTCTTGGAATCGTATGGCCCACAGACCCGTTCAGCGCTGGGCTCTATCTATTTCAGCCAGCCTCTGCTTCTGGACTGAACGTGGTCTATCATTCAAATTTCCGAGTCCTCCCTCAAATATTGAAGGACCCAGCAGACTCTTCAAAAAGAATGGAAACCCCGGATCATCCATTGCAAATGGACAATCAGCGTCCACCTTCCTCTCTGCATACTGCAAGGATCGTTGCTCGTCATTTGTTGGAAAATAAACCACGCTTATGGTGTCCGAAATAAGCAGGCCGCCCTCGGATCATAGAATGATTGTGAGTCTCCCCGGACGAACGAGCTCGTCAGATAAGAACCAATATCGCAGAGAAATGCTTTTAGTTGGAGGGGTTTTTCTCCATATTACGGATGAAAAGCTCTGGAGGAAGAAATCAAATGCCCGAACTGCGAACTGATGCTCATGGGGTGCTCGGTTTCACAGGGAAGAAACATGGATGGCGCACGTGGCATGCTGTCTGGGACGGTAGACCGCATGACGAAGGTACGTGCCTCCATTTTGTCTTCACCAGCTTTGTTGGGTGCCGTAAAAGGCGTTCCTTTTACGGCACTGCTCAATGAGACACGTTTTCCGAGGGCTCCGGCGATTGCAGCACTGCAGTTCTTTGGTTCTCCGCCAGCAAGGATTGCTTTTGGGTTATTATCATGAGAGTCGGATATGACTTCAAACGACAGGGGAGCTGGTAGTTTGTTAGCACCATCACTATTAAGTTGACGGTTCTTACTCCTTCGTTGCAGGTTTTTCAAACGAAGTCCGGCCGGCAAATATTCTACATCGTAGCTTCTTGTGTTGCAATATTCCTGCTTATCTACTTTCTCAGGAGATGACGTGAGAAGCCACTGAGCCTACTGACGACTGCTTGTATATATCCGATCGATGAACAGGATGCCGCAAGGCTGGTGTTTGAAATTTTGCAATGTGTCAGGTGCTGAGGAGCATTCATTTCTCAAAAGGCAACGGCAAGCTTCTCCTAACTTGTGATTTTGGACTAGGTAGTTGGCGGCATTGTGGACCCGGATTTTACGGCGCACTCTTGCACTGGAGAACTCTGCAATAAGGCATAGCACGATCTGGCCTTGCTAATGTTGCGTTGACCTCGTGTATAGTTCCTACACCTGCCCAGGTCACATGTTAAATGACGGCTGACCGTCATTGCAACATGTGATGACAGGATCCACCGCAGATTCCCGGTGGATAAGGCATATAAGGCAATGCCGTCAACCTCAATTTCTGGAGTAGCGGCCTATTCATTGCAATCGTGTCGTTCAATTGGGAGTATACTTGTTCGGGCAAAACGGTTGCATTTTAATCGTGCGAGCGAGTTCGAACTCCGCGTGCAGAGCCGGCGCACTTCGTGCAGCGTTGACGCTGCAGATCCGACGCCCAATGCGTTGCCCACCATTGGTGTACTGCCATGCAATTTCTGGAGACGATGGTACGTGCGAGTGTATAGTAATGCGCTAGATAACGTGTCCGACATACTGGGCGCCCGGCCACACAATGGCCTGCCATCAAGCATGGCACATGCATGCACTGAGCTGCTGGGAACCGATCCGCAGCCGGATTGCTTGCCGCGCGTGAGATCATTCCTTCTGCATTAATGTCTAGGTACATGCACCCTCAGAGCCCACGTTCGCGGTGGCCTATAACTGCGCACCATAAGCTGGCACCATAAATGCCAACTGGGAACGACCTGGAGCTCGATGTGGCATGTGAACTTTGACTGCATGAATGTTTCCAATCCGTTAAAAGTTACGGGGCTCCGAAGCTTGCAAGCTGAAGCCCTGAGCGGGCAAGCTGAAGCCCTAAGCGGCCCTCCCTCAAAGATTCCAAGCTAGCTCGATCGCTTCTTAAGCCTGCCCCTCCTTTTTCGTGCAAAACTAAGTGTCGGAACTCATCACCGTTTGCTTGCTTGCCAACCGTGGCTTGGACGGCCCTTTTGGTATCCTCTGTGTCATGGTGATGATCCAAAATCACGAAGCTCACTTAGGAGACTTTGAAATGGATAAGTTGTGCAACTTTTGCTCTTCACTGTATCCGCTCATGAGTGCGCCGTGGCAGCAGAAATTCCCAGATGTTTTCGGCAGTCGCGCGCTCTTTCGAATTAAAGTAAGAATCTGACGCTCGTAATAGATCAAGTACACGATGTCCAGTCAAAAGGTCACAAGGCGTCTTTCCTACCCAAAGCACGAAAGGAATGCATGTCTACTACCTTGATCTATCCATTGACATGCCCAAGCTAGCCGAGCTAAAGATGCAGAACCCAGTATCCAGGGGGCAAAGACTCATGTCATGACGACTGTCCGCTTGAAATATAGCGGTCAATTAGAGAACCGGCGCACAGTCTGTCCTTTCATCTGACCGTCACTGGTTGGGGCCCGGCCGCTTTCAGGTTTGACTCACGTTCTCAAACCCACAAACCTGTTGCGCTGGACGATCTTTTCAGGCATTGAGCGTGGGGCCCTTAGAAGTCTCTTTGAGCCCGCCTCTTATGATTGCAAAGGAAGGGAGCACTCTCAGTCAAGTAAACGCCCTTTAACGACTTCGCGCGGCCGCCCGCGGGCTAAGGTCGCCGCGCGGCGTGAGTTCAGCCGCTCAGGGATTCAGATTTGGTACAGCTGCGCGCCAAGAACTGCGGCCGCGGCGGGCGGTCGCGGCAGAATTTTGCAGATTGAAAGTGACTTCAACAAGGATTTTATGTGGTATGAGGCGCTGGGATTCGGGAAGGCAGAACACTATCCTACATCTCTACGAGCAAATGGCACTTTGGCATCCTCCTTTAGCAAAAGCGAAGTCGTCCTTGGAGTGCCTACCTCAGGATGTCCTCTTCCATATAGCGACTCTTCTTGAACAAAGTCCGTCGTACAATTTCAAGCATGGTTCTCAGCTCAGAAGCTTTACCGAAGTTTGTAAGGACTGGTGTGCAATTGGGAGAGCAGCGGCCACAACGGTGACCATAAGGACCTCCAACGCTACAAGCAGATTGTCAGAGCGCCAGAAAGGCAACACAATGAGCCAACGCCTTCGACAGCTACTCGAGACTTTTCCAAATGCAAATAGGTTCTGCATCTTTGAAGGTGGTATTCATACATCTGATTCAGAGCTAAACCCGCTGGCTGCTGAGCCTCGCCTTTTGCAGACCATAAAGCATCTCGACTTTCAGAATATCAGCTTTGACGGCAGAGCCAGTGACCTGCCAAGCTTTGTTTGGAAGTGCAACAGTTTGGAGAGCCTTTCTGTATCTTCAGATTATGTGCTTCGAATGAAGGAGCTTCCCGATGACGTCGGAAAGTGGACAGGTTTGAGACGTTTGGACGTCCAGGGACACTGCCTGTACCTCAGAAGCCTCCCTTCAAGTGTTAGGAACTGGTCCATGCTGACGCATGTCAGGCTAACCTCATGTCACGACCTCAAAGAGCTGCCCGAAGAAGTGGAGCATTGGGTAAACTTAAAAGATCTAGCTCTGCGAGATTGTTTCAAGCTGAAGAAGCTTCCACAAGGAGTCAAGGCATGGACGCGACTCGAGTCGTTGGCTCTCCGTGGTGTATGGAACTTCGAAGGCTTCCGGTCAGAGGTTGACTCCTGGCGGAGCATCCAGAAGCTGAGCCTCGATCGCTGTCCAAGAATGAAGAAACCTTCACGAACTTCAAGAGAGTGGACAGGCTTACGGAGTCTGGACATCCCTGACTTTATACTGAGTGGAACCAACCCCCAGGATCCTGTTGAATTGTGGAGATTGTTGACGAGTATTCGGATCGTCGGATCTTTGAATAGAGTTCTCAATATAGAATCTCCCTTTACAGGGCTTCCTCAGAGAGTTGCAAACTGGCAATTACTACGAAGCGCCACCTTTCTGGACTGCCAAAATCTAAGAGCTCTTTCGGAAGGTGTCGGTGGTTGGATCTCTCTTGAAGAGATGAAGCTGGACACGTGCCCAAGCCCCAGGTGCTTGCCAGACGAGGTCGGCAGGTGGTCAAGGCTGAAGAAGGTAGAGATTAGGGCTTGCAACGCTTTGCGCTCTCTGCCTGACTCTGTCTCTGGCTGGCAGCTTCTAGAGGACTTCAAGATGTCTGATTGCGCCTATCTGAGTAGGCTGCCTGAAACCGTGGGAGCCTGGAGAAGCCTCAGGTCCGTTGAGCTTTCAAGATGCAAATCACTTCGTTCTCTTCCAACCTCCGTCAAATCTTGGAGTAGACTAGAGGACTTGAAATTAGGAGAATTGCCAATCAATGAGCTTCCAAGAGGGATTGGGAAAGCTACATGGCCGTTACTGCAGCGATTGCGTGTACGCCTGTGCCCTATGCTGCAGTACTGGGACTCTGTGGGAGACTGGAAGAACTGGCGGCATTCGAGTTGGCTGGGAGGGGACTTGGTAGAGTTTGTTGGTTCTCAGATCGCTGAATGAAGGGCATACCATGGTAGTAACCGAGTGATAACTCTTGACAGCTTCTTGCTAATGCTGGTCTATAGTGGGAGGACAGGAAGCAAGGGGGTAAAGTCCCTACTTCTCGTGATGTACTACATTATGACGTGATATAGCGGTCCAAAAGATGTCAATGCAGACCTGCTCAATTGCGTTTCTTGTGATATCTTGAGTTTCAGGTATGTATGTCCGTGCAATTCATGGCGTTTCTGAGCCAGGTCGAAGTCCTGTCAAACTGAAAGTTCCGTATCGAGAAAGTGTGCAGCGTTCAAGCACTCCGGTCGGTGTCCCATTCATGTTGAAGCAAACGATTGATGGTTGCGGGGCTGAGTGACATACAAAAATACACACATCACGTAGAGCAACAGATATTTCGTGGTTCGCTGCCCTGTCCAAGGGTGGCTCGTTTGCGAAGAGATGGAGGAATGCAAGTGTCCCTGTTAAAATGGATTGAAGAGGTTGTTCCGTGCCTGTTCTGTAGAACTCAAACACTGCCCACACAAATGTCGATCATTTGTGCGCATCGCTGTGTCAGAACTGAGATACCATGAACGTTTTCACTACCGTTTCAAATAAATCTACATGCTCAGGTGTTCGCATTCTTGAGGATCAAACGTCACGTTACACTATAAAGCTCAGATTGTCCAAGACAGGTCTCACGCTTAGAGGAGCCGCTTCTTGATTTTAACTTATTCCACAACAGTTTAGACATGTGCCATTAGATGAAAAGCTGTTCAGACATGCCAAGCAAAAGAAAGCTTTTCCGTCCAGGTTGATCAAATGAATTATGTCTAGCGTAGTATGGAGCATCATTGCGCCGACCTTGCTTTCAAAGATGGGTCGAACGGCGGTCGATCAATTCTTCACCGATTCTTGCTGTACACTCGGTCACCCAGGTACATTGATACGAGCTAGCGAACCCAGATCGCGGACTCCAAACAGAAACTCATTCAATGAAGCATGTGGACAGCCGCGGTTGCGTCCAAAGGGCAGAGTCACGACGAGCGCGGATTCTTAGCTGGTCTTGACGTGGCCCTTCTGCGGAGCCCAGGCCCCCGGGCGCTAGCCTACGCAATTACAGTCTCAAGCATTTGCCGGATAGAAGGCGAACGAAAACAATATAGCGCTTTCTTGTTTAGAAGGCGAACGAAAACGATATGGCGCTGTCTTGTTTCGAACATGTCAGATCGACCGTTAGCAAACGCTTCTTGAACAACACTCGACGCCTAAAGTGTTTGTTCAGCAGCACAGAAGCTTGACCGAGACGCTCAGATGGTGCGCGGGTGACAGATTTGTTGTTATAAAGTATAGCAAGTGACACTCTGTCCAGAATAACAACTTCAAAAAAAATGATCAGTGGAAGGAGCTAAAACTCCGTTGTGTTACATGCTTCCATTGAACGCCTACAATCCCTTACTGCAAACGTCCTCCTAGTCTACCGGCTCGGTGCAACACTTGAGCCTGCCGACTTCAGTGCAAGGACCGAAATCTGTAAACGGATATCCAGCCGCCTTTGTTACCATACCTGAGACTAAAACCTGCGTTCGAATCCGCGGGGCCAAAACTACAGTCCTAAGCTTTCAACCTCCGCAGTAATATACAAGCTCACACTAGTAACTTTCATTGCACGGCAACGAATCATGTTCTGTGCTCGTAGGCCTACGCTACTGAGAATTCGAGCGATCGGTCTGCCTCTAGAGTCCTACTCTTTGCAGGGGAGTGTCTCGCCGCTGACGGCATGCCGATCGCAGAAGGCCTCGACCCGGTCCCAGACCCGTTCTAGGATGGAGAGGGGGGCCACGAAGACGACGCGCAGCCAACCGACTGCACCAAACGCTGTGCCTGCAAAACCGACGAAACGACCTGTCAGGGCAATGGCACTCACGTTAAACGAAACTCTTAGCCTCTCCGCAATCCCCTCCGGATCTAAAAGCCGGCGCTTTCCGTATTTCCGGAACACCACTATCCGCTGCTCCTTGGGATGGTCTCTCGGCCCCACTCCATACCTTGCCATAGCATGCTCGACGAGTTTGTCAAACATCCCGTCGATGTCGGGGCCGTAAGACATCATAAAATGGGCCATCCCAAGGACCACGTTTTCAGCGCAGACTAGATCGCTCCCCTGGACTCCACTGTTGTTGAGCTTGACAAAAGGGTGGTGAGTATACTCCATGACTTATTCGAGTGCAACCCTTGAATTTGCACCGACGATGCGCACGTGGCACCAATGCGCACGTGGCACCAAGATACAATTGTCATCCTTCGATAGGGCCTCGACCGAGCTGAACTGCAGTCCGCCTTCACTCGAGCTCTCTAGCAGTCCACTGCAAGAACGCCCGACCTTAAACAACCAGAGAACCTCGTGAAAAACTCTGCTCTTCCTGTCAGATGCATGACAAGATCTGCTGTTTTGCCCTCTGCTGTTTTGCCCTCTAAGTGGTATGTTAAAAGCCTCTGATTTTGTGGCAAGAGACTCGCAACAGCTTCTGCTACTCTGCAGTTAGCGGCACGGAACATTCCGCGCTTTGGGTTAACAAGTGTTTTTGGGTTAACAAGAGTTGCAGTCTTACCCGGCAGTAGCACGACGGCCTCCTCTTGGAGCAGCTCCCGCGCGAACTCGACGTCGGACTCGAAGGCCGGGAAGGCGCCCGCTCGTAACCGGGCCTGTAAACCGGGCGGAATGACTGAGACTAAGAAGCTGCCGGAATGAGACTGGGACGGAACGAATACCAAGCGGAGCGGATCGGAATCGAGACCGGAGCGGAACGCTCTTTTCCGCTGAGAGATGCGAAATATAGTACTGGCAGTGTCGCCTTACATTCAGAAAATCTTCTGCCTGAAACTGGATAAAGAGAGTAAGCCGCTGCATACGGGGACGACTTCCAGATCTCAGGTCAGAACACTGGCGAGACAGAGGAAACTCCGCAAAAATAAGACTTCGCTGGGCAACAAAAGAAACCAAGCGAGGATTCGAGCAGAGTGAAAACTTGTCCTCTCCTTGCGTTCTCACATCTTCGATGTTTTGAGAAATTTTTTTGTGATCAGCTATGAGTATGCTGCTCTGGGACAACTCAAAAAACCTTACACGGACGAGCACGAAAGAGAAAACAAAATATGCCCAACTTTTGAAAACAAGGGGAATCAGGGACTTGCCCCGTTGAATCCAATCGGACTCTCCGATCTTGCTCATCACAAGAAACATGGACCCATGCGGTCGCTCCGGGCACTCGAGCACCCGCAGCTCCGCTGACCGTAGTAGGCTGAAAAGGAATCCAAAAGCAGGTTTGTGTAGAAAACAACGAACAAGAGAACCTCGGCGAGCCTCAAAACATGCCCGGTTAAGATCCCCGGTCTGGGTTACCATCAAAAACATGGACCCGTGCGGCCGCCCCGGGCACTCGAGCCCTCGGATCCGCGCTATCCGCTCCACACAGTAGTCAGCCCCCGCTTGCAGCTGCCGCAGGGTTCCGTCGAAAAACTCCGCTGGCGTCTCTCGCAAGATTGTTGGGACGGCGGCCTGCAAGCGGATTTGAGGATCTTCAACTCCTCGGCTATGGACGAGAAGCTAAGGTGCCACCTTCAATCTTGGCATGGGAGAGAAGCTAGGCGTGACGAAAAAGATTGCAAGAACGAACGGATTGCGGATTGACGTCGGAGCGGGGTGCCATCGAAAGATGGTGTCTCCCGTTAAGACGGCGGCAGCCGAGCAAAACGCTGGAGGCGGATTGAGCGGATTGAGAGACTTGGAAGAACGAATCAGAGATTCCCTGGCACGGGCTTCACCAATAATAACTTGACGGCAGAACGGAACGACTTGCGGAACACGGCCATGCGGTCTTGAGCGGAACGGAACGGCCTCAAGGCGGATGCCTGGGACCATCGGACACAACAAGAGGTTGTTGTGAGCCAAATGTAGATCGTCGGACAAAACAAAATGTTGTTCTGAGCAGAATCACCACAAGGGAGATCGTCCACGTCAGACAGAGACTCGACGCTCCAAATGTTCTTTAGTTTCTCACGTTTCCCCTCCCCCACCGTTCTCTCAATTTTTTGGAAACCCGCACCTGTGTAATCGTTGCCGGCCCCATCAGCATCTGCATCATCTTGACCGCTGCCTCCCGAAAGGATGAGTCCGTCAGAACCCCGATCGGGTCGTTCAGGATGAGCCACCCGAGGCGCCACCCGGGCACCAGCCACCGCTTCGAGATGCCGCCCACAGTCAGGACGGGCGTCCGGTGCGCAACGGAGGCAATCGGTACGAACTCCCGTCCTTCGAACACCATGCCCTGAGGGGAGAATGGAATTGAGGTTAGCAATCATGTGGTGGTTAATGGAGGCGATCGATAAAACTCTCGGCCTTCTGAAACCATAACCTGAGGGACAAAGGAATAAGATTGGCAAGCATGTGGCAGGTAACGGAGGCGATCGGTACAAACTCCCGGCCTTCGGACATTGTGCCCTGAGGGAAGAATGGGATTGGGGTCAACAATCATAAGGAGTGCGACGGAGGCAATCGGTACAAACTCCCGGCCTTCGAAAACCATGCCCTGAGAGGGAAGGTAATAGATGTTAGCGGACATGGGGCTAAGGGCGTGAGGCGGAAAGAAAGGACAACCTGATGCTTGTTCAAGTAGAAAGTCGTTCAACTGCGACTCCCAAACCTCTCACCCCATGACTCAGGTCAACGATGATGTGTCTCCCCGATATCGGATTTCAAGCCACCTCCCCAAATTCCTCGTCCAGAACGATCGGTATCTGGTATCGAGTTACAACCCAGTTTCCCGCAAATCCGTAAAGGGTGACTGGCGTCAAATCCAGTGTCCCATAAATTTGCGAGATTCGTTATGGGCGACTGGCGTCCAATCCCAAGAAACTCACCCCGTAAACCTCATCCGCGATGATGGGTATCCGCAAACCGGCCGCCAAGTCCGCCAGCTCTTGCAGGTGCCGTCGACTGTAAACGGCGCCGCTCGGATTACCCGGGTTGCAAATCAGCAGCGCCACCGTATGCTTGTTGGTCAGCGCGCGGATCTGCTCCGGGTCGGCCTCCCAACCGCGCTCGGCCTGTCAAGAGAAGGAGGGAAGAATCGGCGTGAAGACGGGCGGAAAGCGCAGTGAGTGACAGGAACGTTATTTTACTGAGAGTACTAGCCTTGACACCGTGTGCTTGTTGGTCAGCATGCAATTTTGGTACGGGTCGGCCTCCCATCCGCGCTCGGCCTGTAAGGAGGCGGAGGAAGAACCGGCGTGAAGACCGGCGGAAGCGCAGTGAGTGACAGGAACGTAGAAAAAAGAAGTTTTCGTTTTGAGTACTAGCCTTCTCAGCGCGCCGATCTGCTCCGGATCTGCCTCTCAGCTGCGCTCGGCCGGTCAAGAGAACGGGTGGCAGCCCGCTGTGAATACGGCCGAAAGCCACGTGATCTGACAAAGGAATGTCTCCAACAGGGTGTGAAGTTGAAACGAAGTGAGATTGCTTTACGTCATATCCATAATCTCAACTAGTGAGCACGGCATTGGTCCGGACCTGCCTCCCGCTGCGCTTGGCGTGTCATCGGACGAGGAGTAGGACCGTGTGAAAACAGACGGAGAGGGCCGGGACTTCCAGCGCACAGACCTGACAAATCCGTTCTTCACTATACTCCTTCAGCTGCTTTTACTCTATTCTGAAGAGCTCGCAAATCTGCGCTGAGACATCTTCGAGGCCCTCATCTCGCAGCCCATAGGCTCTTGATCCGACTCATCGATGAGTGCGTTCACATCGAGCCCCTGGGGTATTGATGATGCGACCAGGAAATAAACAGTCATCAATGAATCAAAGAGCTGAATCGAGAGGCAGAGGTGCGCTGGTGGCCAAGAGCATAACCCGCTTACTTGTGAGCTATCATAGAACTCTGGAATTAATGTAATTCCGACAGAACCGCATCCCCGAAGGATAAATTTGTGAGCTATCATAGAACCCTGAAAATGATGTGATTACGACAGGACCGCACCCCCCGAAGGCTAAATCACGCTTCTCCCTGTGGTATATCACAAAAAAGAAGAAAACAAGAGGCGAGGGCGTACCAGAAGATCGTAGAACCGAACTTCGATGTCGAAGTATTGAGCGAGGGAGAGGTAGAGCGGGAAGCCAGGACGGGGAAGCAGGATGTTGGCACCGGGGTTGGCCAGACACGCATAAACGACCTGCAGTGTCGAGAAAAGGTTTCATGTGCGATCACTTGATGGGAACGATGCTTCGGTGCAACAAGGTTTGCAAGACCTTTAGTAAGGTCAAAATTTGGGCAAAACAGCTCAAGCCGAGAAAAAGAGAAGGTAACACTGGTGGAACCCCGAGAGGAGCGTCCAGCAAAGAACGAGATGGGAGCATCACAGACAACGCTACGAAAGACCATCATATCAGACTTGACCAGAACCTTCCTCTCCGATGAAAGACTCGTACCGACCGTTTTTGCAGATATACCGAACTTAGGCCACGGAGGTACTTCGAAAACCGGAACCAAGACATGCACCGCTTGCTTCGATGCCTCACCTGCAGCGCCTGCGAGCACCCTGACGTCACGATGACGTCGTCCACCGCTACCCGCTGGCAGCGCGGCAGGCGCGCATTGTGATACTCTGCGACGGCCTCTCGACACTCGGGCAGGCCAAGAGAGTTGGTGTACCCGTTGTGAGCGCCGCTCTGGACCGCTCGTATGAGGGCTTCGGACGCGATTTTGGGGGCTTGCAAATTGCCAAACACGCAGGGGTCGCCTGTTGAAAATAACAACCGTTCTTGAGATAAGTTCTGTTTTGGAAGGACGGAGAGGAAAAAGGCCGCAGATAGAGGGGAAGGGGGCAATATAGAGTTGTAAGCAGGTCGCATCGAAAGGGGAGCGGTCGAAGCTACGAAAGAGATTGTGCAAGCTCCTAACCGTGCGGCTTCTGTTGAGATCGAGGTTCAAGGTTCAAGGTGCAAGTTTCACAGGGATGGGACATTGAATCAGGTAGTACAATAATGTGCAAGAGAAGAGGGGTTTGAAAAGGCAGGTGGTGAAAATCCTCGTAGAAGCAAGGAATAAGCGCAAGGTGGCTTCGAAACTCGAACGATTCACCGGTCGAAGAGAGACGATCAACATCAAAAAACAACTTCAACCAAAAGCAAAGCTCTAAGATGGGCACCGTCATCGTTGCAGAAACACTTTCAAAAGGGACGGCACAACAAATAGTCCGCAGGAACGACCAAACATGAAGTTCTTGGTCAGAAACGACATCAAGTATAAGGAAACTCCTCAAGGTGGTCCACGAGCTGATGCTAAATCGCCGACGATAACAATCGTTGCCGGACTTCATGCACTGAGCTCACCAATGGCAACAGACAGGAGCTCCTTCCCCGCATGCGGCTGGACCTTAATCGCATCCGTGATAACCCGAATCGGATTGATGGCCCTGGAGAGTCAAAAGAAACGGGTCTGAAAAATCAGCGGTTGTGACAAGTTGTCCCAAAAGCAGTCTGATGATGTGTCCAACCTCTAACTGCGTGGCATGATAGCCACTTTCCTCTACAGCCATGCCGGTGCGATTCGTTATGGAACATGAGAGTGTGCCCTCAGCGAACCTAGTTTTGCTTTTTTCCAATCTTGCAGCAAGTGCGTGTCAGCGCTAACCTTCTGACATTCTAAAGCTATGTATGCTTTAAGAGAGTCTTGTCAAAAGAAGATAAAAGTCAGTATCTCGAACCGAAGCGCAACAGACCTTTCCAGCTTTTGCCCCAGAGTTTCTCAAACCCCTCCCCTGAGATAGACAGTTGATGCTTCTTTCAAAAATATCAGACTTTCTGTCACTACCCTGGTTTCTGTCACTACCTTGTCAAACCTTCAAGACAATCTGCAAGGTCACCTTGATAAGTAAATTCACAGCCGCTTGCTACGCTCAAAAGCCTCACGGGGAAGTACAGCAGTTGCTTAAGGCACAGTGATTGCTAATTGTTTTCAACAAGAATCAAAAGGACTCGCGGTCGCAATCAGACTGTTCGACTGAGAAAAGGTCCATTAGCAAACACACCACCCTACGGCTCATACTCTTAAAAACCAAAAACCAGCCAACATCACACTTCATATGAAGTGTTCTGTTGACAAGCCAAGCTGGCTCCAACTTCTTATTTCATGTAGAGCCTGGAAAGGTATCTGAAAGAGGCCCACTCCAATGCTCAATCAGAATGCCCGAAACCTGTGTATATGAATGTCTCTTTACGAGCTCGATCTAAGCCCGTACCTTCATAAAAGGAAACATCAAGTGACATGCACCAGAAACCAGGGCATATCGCAAAGACTCATTGAGCCGCCTCGAGTCCCTTGACCACCACGAGCTCAAAACCATAACCTCACTACCTCTGTTCGCAAACATGACGCTGAGCTGGCGCCTACCTCAGCGCCGCCGCCGATGCATCTATCTTCCAGGGGCCCTCGAACGCCCCGACGTCAAACTCATGCAGCACCTTCAGGCTCTCGTCTAAGAGGTCCAACCGCGGAGGGCACCCGTTGTGGCTGTCAGCAGCCATAGGCGCCGCCGGCGGCATGCTTCCTAACTACTGAGCTCGTACAAAGTTCTGCTTGACAGTGAAGGCGTCACCAACTCTGAGAAAACCCTAAAACGAGATCTGACGCAAGGACCACCACGTACATGGGAGCTTGGTGTGGACCCTTCTAATAAGATAGCGGACGTCAGCCCTGATGCATCTACTGTCAACGCTGCAAACCTTTTTTAGGCAGTAACCACCAGTAGCTAAAAAAGCTTTAATAAACACGCCTGAGGGTGCCACCAATACAAGCATGCACCACTGTCATAACGCCTACACAGTAGAAGGTCTCCGCTGCTAGCTTGCGGGCAAAGCCCATGCAACATGAACAAGGCAACAGGCGCAACGCTAGCAACCAATTTAAGGCAGCAAACAACCGCCTAAGCGAACAAGGACTCTTAGTCGACTTTCCGCTGGTATCCACCACACCAAGGCACGAGCTAGAACACACAAATGATGGCGCCAAATGCTAGCTAGGATAGACGCGCAAAGGAAAACGCCAGAGGGAAGGGAAGTTGCAACCTGTGAGGCTGCATTGGCGCAGGCCCGAAGATTTTGAAGCTGCGCTTGCTTCTCGAGAATCTGACTCATGTCGACGTGGCCCAGCGTGGCGCCGTGAAGCCGCCACGTTGGCCACTTTACTGACGTCAGCCGTGGCAACCGCCGTGCCGCGCGGCTGCTAGGCGCGGCCGCGGGAAACCTAGCCGACGGCGGCCGCCAGCATGGCGCGCGGAAGCCTGAGAGCACTGTCTGCAGACTGAGAGTCTCCGCCGTATAGATGCTAGCACCTAAAGGCTGCATGAAGCCTCTGGTCGACAGGATGGCCAGGGTTATGACACAGTAGGACGGCTTTACCCTTGCCGCGCTTTCTTCTTTGCAACCCAGAGACACGAGATTAGGCAGATCTGGATAGATGCGACCAACGACATTTACAAAGCAATCACAGACGGCTTGAATGAAAGTATCTTCGTCAGCTAGTACTGTACGGCGAGAGGATCGGAAGCTCGAATGAACATGCAGAGAACCGGAGAATTGGGTTGGGTTGCAATTTGCGGATCGTCCTCGCTGGTTGCGGACTGCCCATGCCACCGACTATCAATTTCCGTTATCTTGTGTAAGGAACTTTGGCAGCGCTCCCGATTATCCAAAGGGATCCACTGAAAGCCAGCTCAGAATCGCTTCTTCATTTGCCCAATGTCACACATTGATTTGACCGTGCCAAAAAGCGTTGCAAACATGCATCGTTCCCCGCCAACATCGAGTAAACTCAACCGATCCCACTTTGATAGAGGTTTTATGGACGTCGGCGCAGGTTACTTTTAGACAAGGTTCAGCATCAAGCAACCAATATAGATTTGCGCATATTTGAAGTTTGACGAACGTAAAGCGAGTGGGCAAACCGACTTCTCGATATTTTACTCGACAAGATCGTCAACAGCTTTCCTGGCCAATTTCACTCCCACCGCAGCCCCATCTCGGGTTTCTTCTATTTATGATGCCCTCGGACACAATACGTTGTGTTTCCATACGTAATCCGTAAAGTATGGCGCTGCTTTTATTCCGCTGTACAAAAGCAGCCGCTGATCGAGCTCCTGTGTACACGTCTCTTGTCGACGTTTTAGAGTCCCTGATCTTACGTCAGAGGCTTTCCCAGTCGTGAGCCTATGCTACGACTAACAAAGTACTCCGCTTTCCACAAGCCCAATGTACAATGTATCTTTGCATTGGACCGGAAGCATTCTGTTCAGCGTGAATTTTCTCGAGCCCAGTGATTCAAACTGCCGGCGCCTGCAAGAATAAGAAAGAAACATTCGACCGTGTTGGCATTGCAACCTGTAATTGAACCGATTACAGGATTTTTATTCTGCAACGCGCGCCTCCAGAACGCTCTCCCCGCTTGTCGCCATGGCCAGATCTTGAAGCGAACGCCGACCATGTTTCGGTAACTGTGTGAGCACTTCAAGCTTCAAATTGTTTGTTCCTCTATAGTTGAAGCATCAGCGCTAATGCAACTCGAAGGGTCGACGAATCTGTTGTTAGCGCCCAACACTTCCGGAAACTCAATCCTTAGGAACAGACTGGACCTCGACGCAAGGACAAGAGGGCCTGCTGCTTCTGCTTTCCAGATCGCTTGTACGATAGTCAGACCCACACTTTATACGGTCGAGACTTGAGACGAACTAGTCGAACTCAGATCCTGTGTACCAAATTGTTTGCCGTTGGCTCCCTCCAACGGCTCAGAAAGTGATTGCCCACAAGGGCGCTTGACAACCCCTCCATCCGCGAACAGCCCACATGAAAACATGCCACGTGTCAAATGACAAGCTCTTAGACGTGACTCCTTTCTGCAAGACGGGACGCCCACGAGACACTTTTGACACACATTGAAGGACCTCAACCCACAGACTCGTTTCCCTTTTCGAGGGCTATCCAGTTGACCCTCGTGATTTCTGTCTTGAGTATTAACGCTGTGTGTCAAAGCGACCCGCGTAGAGAGCAGCTGCGTCTATTGCAGAATGTGAGTGTGCAAAAGGACTTACAGCGCAGCGCCAAGATCGGACGACAAAACAGCTTTCTTGTCTGTTCTCGTGGACAAAGCAATCCATCCTCGTCTTTGTGAACCCGCGAAGTTGCTCACCCTTTGCAAACGCTGGCAACCAGGACAAAATACGATCAGAACGCAATGCTCACCGTGACATATCCGTTGGCGGTTGGCAGCTCCGAGGAGATGACGCTCTCCGGCTCGCTGGTCTCGTCCGCGCTCTGCAAGCAGCCCGTACAGGCTTCTGTGAGCATTTGCGAACATGTCGTACAACTTTCGTAAGCTTCAACTCGAAACCGTGGAGAACGCATCGTTCGGCTTCGAGACAAGGTATCTGACTTGATTGCGTGTCATGGGTAGGCTGCACCCTGTGATAGTTTCAGAGAAGGGCGGAAGGATTGTAGAGAAGCGTTGCAGCCGAAGGTGTGTTGTTCGAACCAGGAACCAGTACTTCGTGCTCAAATACTGCCGTGAAACACTGCAAGCTCGCCGTTTTGCGCCATTGGCAAAAACACGAAACATAGGATCTGGGTTCGTAGACACCAGGAGATTGAAGATCCTAAAGCGATGTGGGCTGCATTCGCTGGGGCTGCGCCAACCAGACCAATTGCGATCAGAAACGCAACCAGTATCCAGATAAGCAATTGTTTGAAGCCCCCAATTTTGATTGGCGAACGTTTATGTTTCTGCTTTTGGGACTAGTGCGCACCTTCTATGCTTCTCGGTTCCTTTTTGAGACGTGGATGGCCTGTTGAGATTGAGAAAGGTTTTGAGCTTCCTGGGGATGGCGTGGCTGTTCCACACTCTCTTCTTTCTCCTCCTCTCGCCCCGCATTGCATCCTTCGGGACTTCGAGCTCTGCCTCCCAAGCGAAGACGAAACCTTTACATTCATCTTCAGACATGAAAACTGCTCCAAATCAAACCCCCCACCAAAATTCAGAGATGAATCCTCTCAATCCATCCAAGAAATGAAGAATATATGCAGTCCCACCCCCCGCATCCCTCAGCCCAAAAATGAACACACAAAAGACCAACTCTCCCCCCTGCCCTTACCTGGACCCCATTCGTCATGGGCACCCCCTTGCTCGCGTGCACCACCGCGGCCGCCTCCGGCATGTTGATCTTCACCGGGCGCTGCATCCCACTCGCGCAGTTGGTCTGGCGCATGGTGCGCAGGTCCACCGTGTACCGGGCGCCCCCGGTATGGACCGCCGACTTGATCGTCAGGTCCAGCTTCTTCTCCGCGTCCACGTAAGCGGTCTTGATCAGCTGCGCGGAGGTGACGTCATAGAGGCGCCACTCGTAGTCGTCCCGGAACCACACGCCGACCGCCACGGGGTCGGGGATCGTGCCGTAGATGCACATTGTGGGGGGGTGAAGGGACAGCTGTCGGAGGGGGGGGGGTTTGCGCTGGAAAGATTTCGTGGGCGCTTTGCTGGTCCTCTGTTTGGTGGAGCTTTCTGTGGGCGCTTTCGCTGTCAATTCTTGGTGATGGGCGCTTTTTGCAAGTGCGGGAAGTTGTGGGCAGTTTCCAAGCACTGAACTTAGTAATGCGGGGTGCAACTTGTGCAGTCTCGATAGTTGAAGCAAGACGGACTTTTGCAACTCTATTATCGAGGTCAAGGTACCAAGCCTAGACGATAGTTGAATAGTTGAATCAAGATTGACCGAGGTTGGGCTACTGGAGGTAAGAATCTCGGCTTCAAAGCTCGACAATCCAACTTGCTGACTTGACGGGAAGCCGCGATGCAGACTTCGTCACGGTGTTAAGCGGGCGAGCAAAGTCTCGGGGGCCATGCACGACCTACAAACGACAGGAGTTTCTCGTCTTTCAAAACGCATCAATGTCCGGGAGCAAAACCGCTCTGTGATCCCTGACCGCGTTCGTGTCCGACTCGATCGAAGCACAGTGCTCCATGACAACCAAAGATGAGTCGCCGAAACTCAAGCTGGTTGAGGAAGCAGAATCTCTGTGTGCAGGGAAACACTCCGCCCACAGCTGGTGTCAGGTTGGCCATGCACGCGTCAAAGCGCCGCGTACGTGAACGGTGCAACGCTAGAATCTGCTTCGACGCGGCCGGCGCGCGTCTCGAACGAAGTGAAATCTGTTCCAAGAAACGAGTGTGGGTCCACAAGACAAGTATTGGTGACGTTTCGACATCCTTGACCATGCGAAAAGCCCTTGACTCAAAAGTTTGATTTGAGCATGCATAGATCTCTCTCACCGTCAGTGTATGCAAGGCTATGACAAACCAAATTCTTCAATGCAGATCCATTATACAGATTACCATGCATACGTGTCCCCGGGTGATTCTTACCGCAGCGTTGTATACTTGATTCTAGTGTACACGGGTCAAGGAAGCAAGCAGTTGCATCCGTGCGGTCATAGATGGTAGACGGTCGTATCAAGAATAAGCTGCGGATTGGCATGTTAGCCGGTTGCGACGGTCTCGACTCGCCGCTTTGGGTTCGGAAAAAGCGCATCAGCGGCTCACTTAGCTCAACCTCACTGGAACCTAACGTACTTCAATATAGCTCAAATACATCTTTCCCTTCCAATAACTGTTTGATTTGTTCGGCGTCCAGGTTGTCTTTTGTCAAGTATCGACCTGACGTACAGAACTCTCCATGCCTTCGGCCATGCTAGCCTTAATTGACGGAGTGGATTGGAAACACGGACGGCGTGTCTCAGAAAAGGAATTTTCGAACCTTGTTGACTCCTTTACAAATCTTCTTTATCGGACCCGGCAAGCGCCACCGATCAATGGACCGTTCCCTCCACGACCATTCCGCTGGCGGGTAAACCTCCACCTGTCCGGACAAGGAGAACCAAGCATAGCGTCAAATGAGCTTGCGACAATAGTGACCAGCAGACAATATCCACTGCATGGCACAGCATCTCTGCGCTGCACGATGGTTTCCTCTTCGATGCACTTTGATGCCAGCCAACACGGAAACAAAGGCCAGATTAGTTTAGAACAAGATCGTTACGCTCAAGAGGCCTCGAGGGCCCACAAACGCGCTCAGCCTTTCTGGAGAAAGTATCAACGCCCCGGCATTCGTGCCACCAGAACCACGCCGTCGGACAGGGGAAACAGGAAGAAGCTCTCAACCGCTTCTCCTGCCAAGCGACCCTTTCAAAGCGAAGAAAAAAGAGAAAAGAACCGGTCTTCTTACCCGCTTGATTGGTCGCCCCCACCGCCACGCCCCGCTGTGCGGGGGCTTGTACAAGTCGATGTGATGGGCGCCTTGGATGGCCTGCCCTGCGTCCTCCGCCTGAGAAGGGGCCGAGAGAAAGTAGAGTGGGTCTTAACGGTTTCCGTGGTTCGCTCGAACCTTTGTTCTGTAGAAATCTCATTCTCGTGCCGCTTCCACTTGCACCCGCAAGTAGCAAGAGGTTTTCTGATGCATTCTTTGCTTCGGTCCTTCATGACTGAAACGACAGAGTCCGTTCGAAAGATGCCGCTAATGGGCACAATTTCAGCTGTTAGCCACAGCGACTTGGGCGAGAGCTGAGAGCCTAAGAGCATCTTCGTTTCTGCGGCATGGTTCGACCACGACGTGCCACGTGGCAGCACCTTGGTCCATAGACCGCACCGCTGATTACAACAGACAACTTGCAGTCCCCCCGTAAGGTAGACAGCAACTTACTTTACCTCCGTACGTAAAAGGTAGACAGACATTAATGTCCAAAACAGAAAGGGCGATGGGCAAGCGCGCCTTACTTTCCTTCAGAAGTGAGCTGCCGCGCATCATTGGAGGACTGATTCGCACGTCACAAAGAAGTTACAAGTAATCCCTCTGGAAGCGTCTCAGAAATGAGTCTGTGAACCAGCTTGGGAACCAGAGACTGAAGCTTACAATGGTAAGATAAGGCAAGGCAAAGAATCTGTGGACGACAAACGGCAAGTACAACAGGCGGAGGGTAACAACAAGTGAAAGGGCGGCTATCATAAAGGAAAGGCGATTAGGAAAGAAGAAGTCTCTCAAAAGGGAAGGCTAGCAACGCGAACATGAAACTAGAGAGACTTTAAAAACCAACAGGGACAAACCCCAACAACATGATCAATAGAAGGGAGGAGAAAACTGGTGAAGCAAAGAGCACTCGCTCAACAACGATCCACAAATATCAGTGCTCACCTTTCCCCAGCCGTGTCCTGGTATATACATCATGGTGCCTATTGGGTAGTGCCGCTTATCGACCGCCAGTGTGCCGTACCTTGGTGGTAGCCTCCAGGGGAAGATTATTCGGAAAGGTATTCGCTCCCACCGCTTGATGCTCTCCCGAGAGAACAAGGGCGGTCGTGGCTGCAAGAAGGAGGAGTGCGTTGTGGTGCATGAATATCGCGATGAGCCTTACAATGGATCAAAGAAGGCTCAGCTCAGAGAATCGGCTGGGTCTGAGAGACGGCGCCGTGCGCTGGAAATCACGAAGAGAAGAAGAGACGGGCGCTGTAATAAGAGCAACTCAAGTAAGGTCGGTCTCTGTGCCCTTTGGGGCAAGAGAAGAATACAGTGTGCCTTAGAGCATGGGCTGCATAGATTGATACTGGGATTCCTTCTTGGACAAAATTATCTGCATTCCAGCCCAGTTCCAATGAAGAATCTCCTGAAATGTATGAGGCCTGCAATTGCAGGCCTTTTCAATTGTTCATCCCCAAGCGCGCTCAGTGAGAAAGGCAAAGTGATCACTCAAACCTTGGGCGGTATCTTTGATCAAACCGTTTCAGCATTGAGCTCACCAAGGATTTCGTCATAAGGGTGTCAGACAATTGGTCCGGATGTGAGAAAGATTTTGGCAAAAGGCCCTCCCAACTCAGCTCTGACAGATTGATGCTGAACTCCAGTCCGCCTGACGAAAGTTTTTACACACAAACAGAAACATGGAGAAAAATGCAAGCTCGCTACTATGTCAGCACAACCTAGAAATTGAGCTGGTGAAAGACCTCAGTAACCGATCCCGGATAGGCACGTTCTGCTCGAGCAATTCAGCAAGAGCAATCTGATTTGGATTTGAGCGCCCCTTCTCAACACATTCATGGAAAGTTTACCCCTGAAGAGGATCAGAACAAGGCGACAAAGCGGAGACAAAACCCATAAAAGTGGCAGTAGGCAATCCTGCATCAACGGCACAGGATTAAGCTCCAAAAACCAAAGTGTAAGACTCCTCTCCGCCTAGAGGGAGTGTGAGTGCACCCCCTTCTCAGCTGCCAACCAAGCCAGCTAGCTAGCCAGCCCGCCGCTCACCGCGTGTGGATATGTCCCAATTGACGTCGTTCCCAGGTACTCCTTCCCCACTAGGCTCGCAGGCGCCTTCTTCGTCCAGTAGCGTGCGATGATTGCAGGCTCTCTGACGCCCTTCCTCCGCTTCCTGACACCGACTTTGATCAGGGACATGTGGAGAGCTAGATAGTTGCCGCCGAAGAGCTTTAGACCGTGCTCCCAGTTGCAACAGTGGCCGCAGGCGCAGTACGCTGTGCACATGATGTCACGGACGTACATGGTTGCTGACAAGGATTGTCAGTTGAGAGGCACTTTGAGTACTCCGTTTTGTTTCTGCCCCAATTTGCTGAGTCTTGTTCTGTTTCTCAGTTGAGAGGCACTTTGAGACTCCGTTTCGTTTCTGCCCCAATTTGCTGAGTCTTGTTCTGTTTCTCCGTTGCTCAACCCCGCAACCCCTGGTCAGACTACAACTATTGGTGACAGAAAGGCAAGAAGTCGCATAGTCTCTCCAATTGACAAGCTCATTCTAGGGACAAGCGAGCAGACCAGCTTCTTCAAGGGACCGGGTTAGGAAAACAGCAATGCTTTCACGTACACTGTAGAAAGGCTTTGGTCACCATTGAAGACAACGGAAACCTGAGAAGAAACTCCTCCGCACTTGGTACAGGGCAGAAGAACATGCAAGCGCCAATCGAAATAAAGCTGGCCTCAGTTCGATAATTGCACTTTCATTCTTTAGTACGAATGCATTGGGTTTTCCTGGCATGCTTGCTGTGCTCCTTGTAGCTAGCATGCTACACCGCTGGCGTTACTCTCCTTCTTGCGTTAGTGCAAGCTCGAAACAAAGCTCGACCTCCTGGGGCAACGCGCGTAACGCAAAGTAGGGTTCCGGCCAATCGACTAAGCAGCGGCAACGTCTACGGCCCCGCCCGGCCTGACAATGGAACTTGGAAGCAGATTTCCCAGCAGACTGGACAAATTGCGCTTGTCTGCAGCGCCCACTCTTAGAAAGCATTCAAGAAGGGATCACCTTGTCTCAATGTATGCTTCCTAGACCTCTCCACCTCATCCACACTCGCCCAAGGCTCCTTGCGCTTCCTTTGCAAAGCCGGCGACGGGCGTTCCATTCGATTAGAAAGTTGCATAGCGACCGCAGAAAGTCTAGTAGAGGAACAAGTCAAGCAAGCGTGAGCTGAATGTTGCTGCTTCAGCTCTGTTGGCGGCGCTTTCGCTTCAAAAATCTGGTGACCCTTGATTCCATCACTGGTTAGATCTCTGAGCAAGGATATCGGGCAAGAGCGCGCTTGACATCAGACGGATAGTAAGGGATGAGGCACTGAGGTGGTTTCGCTATTCATGGCTACCACCGCGTGCTTTGTAATTGTTGGGAAGAACGACAGCCCTATCTATGAGAGTGAGGTCGGAAGTGGGCCCAGGGTAAGTTTCAAAAGGCGTGGAGCTTCATTTGTTGTCACGTTCCTATGTACAGAGACCTTTTCATTCTTGTCCGGACGACAGAGTCCCTGATCTGCATTTATACTGGGGAAATTCTACATACTGAAGTTCAGGGTTCACTAGGCACATTCCAGATGATGGTTAAGCCACCCTGATTTGTAAAAGCAGGTTGACATCAATTACGGAGGTGTTTGTTACAGACTGGATCTTTTGCTTGGGGACTTTGGTCTTCTATTGTCAGCAGGGTCCTTGGTGCCCAGAGATAAGGCGTTTTTTAAGTCATGATGCCACAACTGCTCCTTTTTTGTGCAGAAAGATGAGGCGGCGCACTTGCACCAGTTCGTGCTTCACGCATCAATGGACATAGTTCAAGATGTGGTCTGGACTACTCAGAACATGTAAGGGATGCCTGGCTCAGTATTCATCAAAGAGCAGAATCACTCATTTGTTCGCAGAGAAGATGGGTTGAAGCTTATGGATTATTCAGGCCTGCATTTCATCACTTGTGTTCTTTAAGCTGAACGGAGAAGATTTAGACACCGGCAAAGAAGGAGTGCACGTTCTGAAATAAGATCTGCGTTACGCGTGGGGGTGGAACTATTTGTCTTGCACGCAAACAGTCTCAGAGCTACAGTAGCAAAGTGGGCAGTCGGTGCGTCTGAATCTCTTTCAAGACGGGCCCAATTGGGAGCTTTATCCTGTCATACCATAGGACACGGAATGCCATTGAATAGTATGGACCTACATCAAGGTGGAATGAAGGCCCTTATCCCCTTCGCTTTGCATTGGTCTCAGCCAGGAGAACCACTCCTGCTCTATAAGCCACTTCTTCTTGGGCATGCCGAGTGCTAAGCACGTCGCATGTACAGGTATCTGAAGGTCGTGGACAAGTTCGGCGACCTGTTTGTGTCGACCTATGTCACGGCGGGGCAGGCAAAGCTGATGCTGCTGCACGACCTCAAGAGCGAGGACGGGATCAAAAACTTCTTTCAAGAAGTGCACGAGTTGTACATCAAGGTAAGAGCGCGCCGGTTGACCCACCATAAGCAATGAAAGGTGATCGGGGGTTCTCAATGGATCCCCTGGGGTTCACCCCAGCGATCGTTTCCCCGGACTGATGGCTGAGACTCACGAGTACACACAATGACCCTCTGATTGCAGGACTGATCGCCAGAGCCGGTTTGGGTCGGTAGACTCACGAGTACACACAATGACCCTCTGATTGCAGGACTGATCGCCAGAGCCGGTTTGGGTCGGTAGTAGCGAAACGCCAAGTTCCTAACTTACGGTTTTTGTTGCAGACCAGGATAAGTAAGACAATCTGTTATGCACACCGCAAGGTGGATTCCATTTTCTGCCTGCCGCAACGTGCTCTCCAGCATGCCCAGCGCACAGGCTTGCTAAGTCCTGGCTCCCTCTCATGCAGATCTTACTGAACCCCCTCTACGTCCCTGGGTCAAAGATCACCTCCCCTCAGTTCGACGCCCGCGTCCGCATGTTGGCAAAGAAGTACCTGTAGCGATCAATGCAGCTCTGCTGCCACCAGCTTGGCACATACCAAAGTCGTCTTTCCAATACGTCGAGTATCATGGAAACAATGTCAACAGGGATCTGGCATCCGGCCAGACATTATCAAGCGCACTGATGCACCTTCCCACCCCAACAATGATGCCGTCCTAGGTGGAAAAGCAAAGCTGTCGGAGCCTCGGATCTATAGTCGACTGATTGGTTGCCAAGTTGACAATCAAATTCTTCAGCATGCGACTGCGTGCCTGTACGGTCATCTAGTACTTGGGTCCATGGTTGCCCTCATGTGTGTTGGGTGCAGCCATGGGTGACGGTCCAACGCGTGGTACATTTCAATCTAGGCATGCATGCAAACTTGAGTAGGCAGATTACGTACTATCAAGCATGCGCGTGTTCATATGTCTAGCGCATGTGTCTAGGATCTCGGGCCATGGCCATGGCGCAGCTGCACAGCGCGGTTGAAGATTTCTACTCCAGCAGGAGCGAGTGACTGATTTCGTCGCCGCGCCGAAATGGAACAATATGTTGCGTGCGCATACATAGTCCGCACGTACATGTGCAACTAAAGGGGACTCGTTTAGCCGAGTAGCGATTTGCAGAGCCCGACATGTACGCTGCCTTCATGTTGCAAACGTGCAAGTGACGTGTTGTCAGTGGAACAGCAGCGCTGAATTGAAGCACCAGACTGCCTAACGTTATGGTCGAACACTTCAATGGGCTCATTCCAATGGGCTTAGTGAGGACTCAGGGCGCCTCCATACACTCTCTGTACATCACTGCATCTGCTGTGGTGCAGAACGCATAAGAATACTTTCCACATCGAGCAATCTAAAGATCCCAACACGATATCTCGAGCCCCTATTCCTCAGGTCTGGAGATAGCTCGTATACTTCGCGCTCAGTAGCAGCTTCTGAATGCACAGCAGCGCCTGCTTCTGCACTTCCGGGTCCGGGTGCGTCATGCGGCCCATCACCTTCTCCTTGGCCTTGAGGTCCAGCGCGACGCCCCGCCCCGCTGGGTGGTACTGGATGAACTGGCCCAGGTCGTGGCACGCGACCGCGAGCGTGCGCGAGTCGTTGGATGATTCCAGGAGCGTGATCAGCACACGCAGGGTCTGCAAGCCAGGGAGTGACGTCAGAAGAGACGCGCCACAGATCGCAAGTGGGGATGGACGCACGAGAGACGAGTTCGCATCCCTGGGCATTGCGACACTTCCCGACAAAGTTCCTTGTGATCAATAATCTTTGCAGTTCACCCGTTCCGGCGGCGGATTGAAGAGAGTGTGCCAAGCGCCCCCTAGGGTCATAGTTTGTTCCAGCCGACAATCCTGCCATCATGGCCTGCCAAAACAGTCCTTCTGGTAGCCACAACGACTGTCAAATAGCTGCGAAGGGACTCGCAACGAGGCGTCTCAATAACAGGAGCGAACCCCACAAATAGGGCTCGTGCATGATGTAACAATTCCAGAAAAGCACCGCGAACGCCTCGTAAGGCGGCTTAGGTGTTCCCTCTTTTCGCAACAATCACTAAGGCTTGTCGTCATCTCCTGGCACTCCAGAATTTCGCAAATATATTTGTACACCCAAAGCGGAGCGACTGATCGTCATTTTTCGGACACCTAAGCCTCTCCTAGCAAGGGACCCGTACAAGAGAGAAGCGACTGACCTGGAAGTCGTTCTCCTCGAACTTGCCGATGTTCTCCCGCCAGAAGCTGGCGTCCTTGTGCATGGGCGTCCAGTCCAGGTTGCCGGAGAGGACCTCCGCCTTGTACTGGTCAAAGGAGCTCAGGATCTGCAGGCACCAGGCGATGCTGATTCCTTAAGGAGACGTCGTTGCCCAGGTCCAATGATGCGCACGTAGCTCAAAGTCACGGTTTGAGGTGAGTTCGCGAAACAAGATAGTGCAAGGCACAACTTACTCTGGACTGCTTCTTGAACAATCCTTAGAAAGCATGCCCTTGAAATGCTCCCTGACATTGTCGTCAGTCAATGCGCCGCAACCTGAGGAGACGTCTCTGTGTTCGTTGATGCTCCGAAAGCTACGAGGACGTATTCTGACATTCGTCTCGGGACGAATGTCAGAGTTCAGTCAAAGAGGTAGATAATAGCAATGACGCAAGTCAGGTGTGCCCTCACCTTGATGTTGCTCTTGGCAGACTCCTCCAGGGCCTGCAGTGCCGCGCTCAGGTCCTCGTCGCTCCACGACTGGAGCTGCAGAATGACCACTACCTGCAGCGAGCAGAGGAGGAGCGGTTTGACCACGTATTGCACCAGGTATGAGGTCAATAAGAATTGCAAAAGAGTTGACTAGGGCTGACCACTCGAACGACTCCAATACGGTCCGCGCGCAAAGCACGGTGTGTTTGGAACCGACCGGGGTTCGCAACGCTGGGGTTCGTTCGTTTCGACGCCGAGAAACGAACGCGTCTGATGTTTCTTTCCAATCGGGTTTGCACGAGTATGCCAGACAAACGGTCCTGGACCATTTCTGGCAAAGTTGAGGAACCCCAAGCTACTCGCTTCCAGCTGGTATCCGGATTGTCAGGTTGGTTGACTGCGCCACAGGTCCAAGCACTCTGGCGGCCCACCTTGAGAAGGCCGTGCTCGATCATGTCGCTGCCGAACTTGTCGAAGAGGTTCTTGAGCGAGAGCACAGCGACCCGCACGACCTTCTCCTTGGCGCCGCTCTTGGCGACGTCGATGAGCTTGGGGATGATGCGCGCGGCGCGGATCGCGGCCTGCGCCGGCTCGTGGAAGGTCAGAAGCCACACCGCGAGGACGGCCTCGTATACCAGCTGCAGAAGAGGAAAGAGACCCAACATAAGCGCGGGTGGAAGGGTTATTAGGAGCCGGTTAAAAGGAAGAAAGGAGGCCGTTTGGCGGCCTGCGCCGGCTCGTGGAAGGTGAGCAGCCACACCGAGAGGACGGCCTCGTATACCAGCTGCGGAAGAGGAAAGAGACGCAACATAAGCGGGGGTGGAAGGATCATAAGCAGTCGGTTCGAAGAAAGAAAGGAGGCCAATTGGCGGCCTGGGCCGGCTTGTGGAAGGTCAGCAGCCACACTGCGAGGACGGCCTCGTACACCAGCTGCAAAGAGCACGAATTACGTATATAAGCGGAGGGCAATGGTGATAAGCAGGCGGTCGAGAGCGGGAGAGGCGGCCTGCGCCGGCTCGTGGAAGGTGAGCAGCCACACCGCGAGGACGGCCTCGTATACCAGCTGCAGAAGAGGAAAGAGACGCAACATAAGCGGGGGTGGAAGGGTCATAAGGAGCCGGTGAAAAGGAAGAAAGGAGGTCGTTTGGCGGCTTGGGCCGGCTCGTGGAAATTTAGCAGCTACACTGCAAGGGCAGCCTTGTACACCAGCTGCAGAAGAGGACGGAAACGGAACATAAGCGGGGTGGAAGGGTCATAAGCAGTGGGTTGAGGGAGAGTCAAGCTGACGGATGGCGGCCTCTTCTGGCTCGTGGAAGGTCAGCAGCCACACGGCCTCCTATACCAGCTGCATTAGAGGAAGATTACATGTATATACGGAGGGCAGGGTTATTGGCAGTCAGTTGAGAGCAGGATGAGCGGACGAATGGTGGACACAGGGTGAAAAGTAGACAGCGAGGCGTCGAAGCAGCCCTAGCCAACCAGCCGCAGAAGAGGACGGAGGCAGCCGGAAAGAAAAATGATAGCGGCCAGGTGTCAGGTGATCTCCCGTGCAAAACCGAACTACAGATTATCTTACCTAGAGCTTATCCAAACAGCGCAATACCCGCCTGCTCATAGAAGAACTGATTTCAAGTCTGATTCGGGATTCAGATACAGAGATTCAAGGGTATCGCCTGTGGAGTGAGTTTACCTGCACGTGTTGTTGGCCGGAGGGCGGCACGATGTGTGGCGCGAGCAGCTTGACACCGTCCGCCTTCACGAGCAGCGGGCGGTACGAGCGCTCCCGCAGCAGAGCGGCGAGGGCGCTGATCGCCGTGGGGACCGAACGGGAGGGGTGGGAGGGGCTCTTCAGCTGCAGAGTGACGTCAGGATGAGCTCGGCTCACTTGGTAGATCATTTTTCAGTTCGAAGATCCGCGTTGTTTCTTGATGTTTCTTGTCCTCAACGGGCCAGAGGTGAAGGTTACCAGAGTTGGACCAGACCCGGAATACTGAAGAGAATCTGGATCGGCGAGATCAGAAGAATGAAGTAGTCAGAGCTTGAATGGAGCCTTCATCACCTTGAAATGCTCAATATGGGGCGTTACCTCGTCGTTAACGACTCTCTTATTGTCCCGACGGACTTTTGCTACGCATCACTGAGCTTTGGCAAAAGTATTATTATCTGCTCTTCCTCTTGCACACATCCAAAACAGAAGCATGAAGGTCTTCGTCTGTCCAACCCCGACAAACTCAAAACAATAGCCGGGGCAACGAGTTGGCGCTCACAACCGTTTTTCCAAAGGTTCATTACTCAGTCATCTCTCTTTCAGAGTTTCAAAGCGACGGAAGAACTTACCTGGGCGCAGAGGAAGTCGATAAAGGGGCTGACGATGGGGTCCAAAGAGTCGAAGGGGACAGTGGCTGCAGATGACGTAGAGGCGCCATTGGCAGAAGTGCCGTTGGGTGCGGAGCCACCCGCCCTGGGGCGCGAACTGTGCCAAAGGGTGGAACCAAAATCAAGTAGGAGAAGAATTGGATATTCAAGACGAAGCGAGGGAAAGGACCAAAGAGAAGCGAACTTGAAATAGGAGGGCCTTTCAGACAATACGACTTTGCTGCAAAAAGGTGAGCAGAAATCTGCTCAGGCAGAGAACGCTTCGCATGAGAAAAGGTGCCAACGGATGAATTGTATCAGGGCGTTGGGGAAAGGCTTCTCTACTTACCTGATTATGAGCGTCAGGATGCGAGTGGCCCTTTCCTGAGTGAACCAGTTCTTGCGAGTGAGACACCTGTGACCAGGGAAATGATTGAACGGTTCTTACATGGTTACAACGTGACTACTGCCCGCTTATGATTTGGCCATGTGCCAAAAAGTGTGCAATTGACTGAAGGCGTGAAGCAGCTTCTGTGAAGGGCGCCAGATCTGCAGCGGACTGAAACGCTGACGGCAGTCATCCAGGTGCCTGGGCAGGTGAAGGAACCACTGTGTGGCAAGCAAAGTCTCGCTCAAAGATTGGAGAAACCAGAACTTTCCAGATATGGAACTTTTGATAGAGGCCGAAAGGTGGTGATCAATCTCAGGCGGCATGGCCAGGTTCAAAGAGGGATAATTAACAGGACTGGTATCAAGAAGGTCATCTAGATTCTTCCTCAGTAAGAACTTGGAACCATTGATGCAATGTCAATTTCAAAGTTTGGGGTTGTGCTCCATGCATTCCTAAACACATGATCGGAGGTCTTGTGCGCAAGTCACCTGAGAAAGGGGCCGTAGATATCATCTGCCGCCAGGGTCTTGTCATGGAACAGTGCAGCTCGAGAGGGTACCGCTGCAAAGCGTAGATTAACATGCCTCACCGCCACGGGCTTGTGGTTTAATTCCCTAAAGCAAACAATCTGCGCAACTTGCACTTTGCTTGATCACAATCTGCACAACAGACTGAGCTTCAAGACAGCCTTGGTTAAGAAGACCATTGCAGGGTCTGAGGTAATGGCATCAAAGAGACAAGAAAGACAGTCAGCGAATGAAACCACTGAAATGTAATTCCTGGCACTCGTGGCCATAATTCAGACAAGTCTATGCTGCAATCAGGCTATATAGCCCCTATTTAATGGGGGGAAAAATTCGTTCTTGTGCTTTTCCCCTGGTTTGCTTGGCTCACCTTGCAGGGCCTCATCTAAGAGAGTCAAGACATACTCCGTAGTTTCTTCTTTAGACACGTTCCTAAGGACAGCCAGGAAAGTCTTGAAGTATGCCGCTCCGTCCTGTAGACCCGTAGATATATGTGAGTGGATTGCAGCTTTGAAACTGGCTGAAATACATGGTGCACCTCAGGGGAAATCTGATAAGCACTACAAAGCTGTGTGCCTTGACAGACCTGCACTGGCTCAAATTCTGCCTGATTGTGGTGGCCGCGCATTTGACCTCGTCTGAGAACACTGCAAGGCGTATGTCAAATCATAGAGACAGTCAACTTAAAAGTCCTGTGCAATTGGCCTTTCTTAAGGTGAATAAACTGCAACCTATGTCATTCTATTCAAGAAGGGAGGATTTTAAGTCCCAGGATTAGTCAATATATGAGCACAGAATACTCGCCCCACCTGGTTTAGGAGCTGCGATTGCACCTCAGGGCCGCGATGATCGTAGCGCCTCAACAACATCAGATCCGTCCCCTGGATCATCTTGGCAGTCATGTATGTTTCCCATGGTATTTCGCGCTTGAGCACCTGCAGCATTGGAATGGACGAAACATAAATGTGACGCAGTCATGAAGAACAGGCAAGCGGAAGCTTCAGCACTTACTGCTAATGACTTTTCTATGAATCCAAAGATGCAATGAGGTGGAGACAATAACACCCAACGAGTAAGCCCATAGGAGACCAATGTAGCTGGAACAACCACGAGCTGCTATGAATGGCATTGAAAGTGCACATTGCTGGACAGAAAGGTGTAATTTTGAAAGGCAACCCATAACTGCAATTGACCAGGAACACAGTAGGTACCTGCTCTTTCATCGACTCCTGCGAATCTGCCATGGCGCGTCCACAGCAAGCTCCTCTAGCTTCCTATTTGGAAATCGCAGCCACTTGGAACCCTGATCAGCAACTGGCTTGATCCAATTGTCCAATTGTGTTGAACTAATTTGCAAACACAAATGCAGAGGTTTCTAGTTGGGCGAATTCTCTTGCTTTGTACAGGCTGTGCTGATTGATCTAAACACAGGACAATTGTTGACGCTGGATTTGCTGGATGAGCCCTCACACGGCGCTGATTGTTTTAAATCCTCCCTTTGCAAACCCTTGTTTACCGCTGCCCAGATCATGCACCTTGCATTTCAATTGACATCTGGCCTGGCGGTTGGACAGCACGGGAACCGATCTTAGACACGAAGCTCCTCAATTTGAAAGACCAGAAATCAGATTCCCTGGCCGCAGCTTCAGGCTCGGATTCTAAACCTCATGCAAGAGCTCAATGACAAGAGCTTTGAATCTTAGGCTTGAGCTTCACTGGCAGGCCCAGCAGGCTCCCCTTGCCAGCTCCAGAGTCCAGAACAACGCCTCTCCTAAGCCTTCCTGCTTTGCTCGTCGAGCTGCGTCGAGCCCTGCATTTTCTAAACTTTTACACTTAACCACGTGACGAAGCTGTGCAGTTGACCGATCGACGTCGAACTCGAAGCAATTCACAAACTCCAGTCCGTCGGAAAAAAACTGCGTCGAGATTCGAAGCCAAACGAAGCCGGTTAGCAGGAAACCCGTGCAAGCCAGCTTGAAGTGGCTTGAACTTGAAGTCACATGGAAAAGTGCAGCACCGTCCAGCAGCAATGCATGCCATTTGAATGAAGTTCCAAGTAGTAAATTTTTGAAGCACGAGAGAGAAGCTCAGGACGCAGTGCACGTTGCAGGCGGCATTGCCCGTGATTCAATGTCACGAGCAGTGCTATGAGGATTGCAGACGCCTGCACCTTGTGTCACATTGTCATAAGAGCCGGTGGCAAAAACAAGCCAGTCTCATAGTTTTTGGTGCCGGTGACAATGTCGTCTTCTGTCCTGGACGCCTTGGTAGCGGTGCCTGCTAATGAGATTGCAGGGTTTGTTTTTGGTGCCGCGTTGGTGGTAGGGTTTGCAAATGCTCCTAGATGGGATGCCTTTGTGGCGCGTGAGCAAAGAAGGTGAGGCCGTTCCTCCTACCTGAAATGCTTCCTTCGCGAAATATGACGGTGGCGGGTGCCACCAGTTGGAGTGGTTAGTCTGGAGAAGGTTTCTCCTTGTGTCATTTTATGCAAGCTTCTGTACGCTCAAGTGAAGATGCTTTGCTGCTGGGTTCCAGAATACCTTTGGGGCTTTTCGTCACTGTTTGATGGTGGTAGAAACCTTTACCAGGGGTTCAGTCAAGTGTTGCTGGTTCGCGCAGTCACGAAGTGAGATGTCTCCTTTTGAATCTTACATCTGCATTCTGGTTCTAGGTTGATTTGGTTGAGCCTTTGTATGTTGGGAACGAACTTAAGTCCGGCCTGCTAAGTGACCAAGCGGAATGACATGCTGAGAATGCATACTTTTATCTCTATCTGTTTGGAGTTTTTGTGGAATTTTTGAAAGCTTCTTTACAACTAAAGGCGTCTGAGTCATGGCCAATGATTATACACACTTTATAATACCATCTTTCGGATCTTAGCAACCTCCGGGTTGAGCAGAGAAAGATAATATGAGGCCATGATTTGCCATGTAGGTGGGTGCGAGGACTGTGAATGCAATTCTGAGTTGTTTCTCCCATGTGAATCAGTCCTTTTGACGGATTCCGATCCGTGGACTTTTTGCGAATCCTTGCTTAGCTGCGATCTGCTCACCGATCAAAACTACTGGTCGGCACTTGCGAATTGCTTGTCGTCTTGTTACTTGCTTATCCACCGCCTTTCTCACTCCTCATTCCACTTACAGAGATTTGGGACTTTGTGAAACATGCGGGGGAGCGAAGGCTTTGCCTTGTAGGCGGTGTCAAGCGGGGCTGTCCAGACCAAAGCCAAACAACTTTGTCACCCAGTTGTTTTCACGGCAGAAACCAGACTCTGCACCAAGGTCCCTAGCAAATCGCTTGCCGGTTGGTACTTGTCAAGATTGTCGAGGACTGGGAAGGCTCCCTTGTCCCGCCTGTCAAAGTAGGTGACGTCAACCAGACGGATGGAAGTGAGGACTTCGTGCTTATCTTTGTTGTACCGTTAAGAAGTTGTACAATATCGATCTTGACCTTGTACAGATGTAAAGTGATTAGGTGTTTAGAAAGAGACATCAGCTTCAGAGCGTGACTCGTAGGAACAGGTTTCTTGGTTCATCGGACCTTGATAAGGTTAGGAACGAGCAGATCTTGGGCAAGCCCTACCTCTTCGGCGGAAGCGGAAGCAGTTAAGTGTAGAGAATTGCGATCTTGTATTCACCAATGCAATGACCGGCCACCAACTTCACTGCCGCCAACCAAAAATAAGAATATAGAGCTTCCTCGTCACAAGCTCACTTATAGGCGTCCTCACTTGCTCAAGTACTCCAGTATTTTTGAGCCCATGGATCTGCATGCTTGGATAGCAGCAGTGTGGTACCCGCTGCTTGCGATCCAGGAATGGCTTTGCAATCAAGTTTGTGAAGTCTTTGTAAATGTAGGTTCTCTGCTCTACTAGCAAAGTAATTGCTGAGAGAGTTGGTTAGTAGCATCATCGTATTGAAACTTGATGTAAAAAGCAAAAACTGGTATATATGGCGGCATGTGAGCTAGCCTCCTGGAGACGCCGATCGCCTGCAAAATTGATTAATCTGATGATGTATACGCTGTTGCACTTGTGGGACCGGATCGTGCTTATCTTGCACCCATACCGTACATAAATCATTGTCGGTTTCTGAACACTACAACCATTGTCATGAGGCCCGGCTGCTGTTGACATCATGCATGCTCGAAATGTGTGCAGCTAGGTCGATTATGCACGGGCCGCTGTATTGAGTCCCATGTACCGTACATACCGCACATAGTGATGCGGCCGCCCTCAGTGCAGCTTGATGTCCGTCCTAAATCAGTACATGGAGCAGCCATATTGCAAGAGAAAAACCATTTTCGTACACGATAGGTAGCGCGGTGTGATGTCCGTCATAGATCAGGACATGGAGCATATTCCAAAGACTGGTTTTTGGACTGATGGGTTGAATCGAGTTTCAACGACTTATAGTGACGCCTTATATGGAATCTTCTACTGAAAACAATCGTCCCTTTTTTGAGCTGGAGAAGTCTATTCTGGATACCTCCAATAGCAAAAGTAGTATGCTAACCATGATGCCACAAGCTTGCATCATGCCATAATGCGAGAACGTCCGACGGTCAGATCTAAAGACTCGTCTACATACCAAATGCTTACTCTACGCTTCAGGACATGCAATGGGGACAATCAAGATGTCGCCCACAAGAAACGTGGCCCACTCTGATTTAAAACAAGGTCCGAGAGGTAATCATGTGGCCTTGGCTGCAAGAAACGCCATATAGCGGCCACACCCAGTATTGTTTCAAAACCCGCCCCCCCTCATTCTTCCCCGCACTCTCACAAGATGAGAGTCCATCTCCTTGTCGGACAAAGAAAGAGGATGACATACGCATGCATTGCCGCACATTCTAGTTTTATAGCTTGTCTTTTTCTTCACAACGCCCTCAGTAGTAGCTTCTCCGGGGACTCCTACTCCTCCTAGGAGACCGGTCCCTCGATGAGCCACCATAACCGCCCCCTCCGCCGCCATAAGAGCTGCCCCCACCTCCATAAGAGCTGCCCCCATAACCGCGCGACCCGCCACCGAAGCCGCCCCCATCTGGGTTCCGCCACCGGCCACTGCCTGAAACCAACAGAACATCTGAAGCATTTCAACCTGCTCTATGTAAGCCTCTGATAACTGTCTCTTTTGGTGATCATGTATATCCAGCTTTTCGAGCATATTACCCGGTTCTAACTTCACCACACAAGGGACCAGAAAGAATGCCTTTCTAGACGCTACCAACTTGAATCTTTCACGGACACTCAAAATGAATGTTTCCTTCGACCCACCCCAACCAAATTAGGTTTGCGCTATATCCACTACCACTTGCGGTGGCTGCCCCCCCCCCCGCGGCTGGAGCCGCCTCTCATACCAAAGTCCCCACCACTTTGGAAACTGCCTGTCCGCCATTTCCCACTACCTATAGAACGAGCGGGGGCGAGGAAAGAATTCGGCAAGCGGATCGCACAGATGATACGACTTCTCGGACGACTTCTTGGAATCGACAAAAGAGACTGAGAAGATACAAAACACACAACAAGGTACGTTTTGATTGGTCCAAAAGAAGAAGGCCGGCAAAAGCGCAAAGCTTAAACAAACAGACCAACGCATTCGTTCCGCAAAGGATGTACTAGAGCGCAGAATTGCCACCAAACGCCTGCGAACCCCGTTTAACGTCAGCACATTCAGTACACCGTACATTAATCTGGGAAGGAGCCTGCCATTATTTGTAGCGTGTTTGTTACACTTACATCCCAGGCCTGAACATCCGACGGCCAGCCATGTCCTTGAGATCGGACGGCGCTGCCTGGCCCTCGTCACCCCTCTCTCAAACCCGTCAGATCTCGCAAAATCTGCTAATCATAGGAAGGCGGCAAGTTTCGGTTCCTGTACCGACTCCGGGCCCAAATGGCCTGCTGACCATGTCCGTGAGCGCCGTCGATCGTCCTGGCCCAGAGCTCTCCCTACACAACAAACCTAGGTACCCCCCGATGCAATCTTTTTCGTAAAGTGGTTCAGTCCTTACCTCCCCGCACGTTGCCAGCCACGTCCAGCACTCCTCTTTTCAACCTAAAGCTGCAACTTTTACTGAAAGGGGGTCATACCCCACCAAATCAATATCTCGCGAGTCACTTTTCAATCTCACCTCCCGGTCCGAACCGCCCGCTCCCCGCCATATCCTTGAGCTCCGGCGGCACTTTCTGGTCCGCTCCCTCGAGCACCTTCACCAGCTCGCGCGCGTGCTTCCCGTCCTGCTGTGTGAAGAACGTGTACGCGGTTCCTGTCGCTCCCGCGCGGCCCGTTCGGCCAATACGGTGCACGTAGTCCTCGACGCCCTGGGGGAAGTCTGCAAGGGTACATCGCAGGATCGTTTTCAGGAAACACGTATTAAATGATAAAGTAGAGATTCTGAGGGGTTAGAAAGTTCCGAATACGGTGCACTTAGTCCTAATGCCCTGGGGAAAGTCTCCAAGGGATTCCACAAATCTGTTCCCAGGAAAAGCATATAAAGACTTGTGGGGGGAGGTCCAGATACGGTGCACGTAATTTCATAGGCTCGAAAGAAACTCCGCATATCGATTGGGAGCGCCGTTGAGCTGAAGCAACTGAAACTCGAGACTTTCGGGTCAAGGCTTCTCAACTTAGTCCCTGTGAAACCTCCTGTTATGTATGGAAGCACGGAAGCAAACTTCGTGCAAGGACATACCTGGACAAAGTGGACATTCCTGCCAATGCTCTCCTCTCTGATCAACCGGTGCTCTCCTTTCTGATCGAGACTGGTCACACAGAAGCCCCATAAACAAAGCTCGAACAACCCACATCCGATTTCGGCGGCGTGGGAACTTCCCACAAGGGAGTGTCCTGGGTAGCTTTCCAATCATGAGGAACTCACACCCGAAGAGAGCGGCGCAGACCGGGAAGAATCTCACACAAACCTACACAGACATCCCACCATGTTCTTCGCTCCAGGCAAAAAGCTATGCATGCGCGAAGGAAGCCAAAAGCTATGCGCACACCAAGAAACTGAAAATCAACCCCTTGTTTGTTCCGGACAGTAACGTCTTCCTCACCGTAGTTAACAACCACTTCAATGTCCTTGACGTCCAGCCCCCGCGCCGCCACGTCCGTGGCCACGAGCACGTTTAACCGACCGCTGCGAAACTGGTTCAGCACATAGTCGCGCTCCTGCTGCGACTTGTCTCCGTGAATTGCGGCTGCAGGAAGCAGAGGGAAAAGATTCATTGAAACTGCTCGGAATCGTCGACAGAGGGGGGGTTTTGAGCGAACCCCGCACTATCTGGGAGTGGCCTTGAGCCACCTACGAGAATTTTTCTACCCTTTGCCCTAGAACACTTTTCAGCAGGGGTGCCAAGCAGGAACGTCTGATTCGTATGCATGAAGTTTCCCTGAATTTCGTGGGAATTCATGAGCATTCCTGGACCCAATCTGCTTGCTCCGAACTCCGGTGCAGAAAAACTCTTGCATACGACCAAGTGGAGTGGCTGCTCCGCAGATATTAAAAGATCCTTGGCTGGTCCATGACGTGGACTTTGCCCGGGTTCCCTCGGAAAGCGTCGCTTCGGAGAAATCGAGGCGTGCCGAAACGCTTCGTAACGTTCACTGTGACTGTCAAACGGGAGAAGACGCTGCAAAACAACTCCTTTCGACGACAAACAGCACTTAGTTTCCCAAACCTTGCACAGCCGACCAATGGATGCGCTGGCCGATTGACCCACCTGCGTTGAACTGCCGGTCGATCTGCCGCGTCAGCTGGTCGCACATCCGCTTCGTCCCGCAAAACACGAGCGTCTTGGACGATGACGTCAGCTCCCGGAGGATGCTGACCAGCCTCTGGCCTTTGTCGTATGACGTCACAATCTCGACAATCTGCGTGATGGCCTTGTTCGCCGCCAATTGGTCCATATTCCCGATGTTTACTTGGACCGGGTTGGAGAGCAGATCGGCCGCAATCCGACGGACCTCCTTGGGCCACGTGGCAGTGAAGAAGAGGGTCTGGCGGGAGTTTGGAATCTGGGCGACAATCTGCACGAGAGCAAGCCCCGAGGCTCCGATTAGTCAGTAGAAAGAGCGTACATTTTCTCAAAACGATTTGCGTAGATGCATAACCTACGGCAAGTCCCATTCAGTAGGGTATGTGCAGATCCTGAACGTATTCATGCGGGAATTACCGCCTTGGTTCACCACTCCAAAACCGTCTAACCCCTCCCCACTCAACTGGTCGAAACCCGTCCATCACGATCTTTTCTGTGTTGCATCCAACAGTGCATTGAGGGTGAGGGATCCGAGAAGCGATAGCACAACCTTACGACCTCAATCCTTCAGTCCTAGAACGTCCTTCCAACAACTCCCAAACATTCCTTCACATCAATCACTTGCGCCTCAGCTTCCTGACTCGCAGCTCGAGTCCTGAGAACATGCTTGCAGGCATGTCTGGCTCTGTCAGGACCCCTGACACACTGAAGTACCCAACAAACCCCGACAAAGAATAGACCAACATCCTGACGCGCCCTCACCTTCCTGATCTGCGGCTCAAAGCCCATGTCCAGCATGCGGTCTGCCTCATCCAGCACGAGCACCGACACCTGGTTGAGCGACACCTTGCGCATCTCCAAAAAGTCGTTCAGCCGGCCCGGGGTTGCAATCACGATGTCCACGCCGCGCTCGATGTCGCGCAGCTGGGGGCCTTTGGAGGCGCCACCATACACACACTGGCGATAAAAGAGGAAGGGGTTGAGTATGAGACTCTCCCATATTGAGTACGACACACTCAGCAGTAGTTTCGCTCAGCTTTTGGATAAAAGAGAAAGGAGTTGAGTACAAAACTCTCCCATATTGAGCAACACACTTGGCTTTCAACTTCGGTCAAGGTTTCCCTATTAGAATCATCGCACATTCTTGAGCTAGTCTCACAAACTGCACCATGCAGCACACCACCCCAGGACTCAAAAGATACACAAGCGACTGTCGTGGCTCATTCACCCTTTCATTAAGGCCTGAGCACAACCAAGCTTCGCTGTCTGCGCCAAAGCATTCGCGAACTCCACGCCTTTCCCGCTCCCCCTTCACTTACTCTGAGCCAACTGATCTGTGACATGACAGAACAATCCAAATAGACAATCTTGTCTATGATTAATACCACCCACCGTGCTCGAGAGGCCCGAGGCGCGCCCAAACTTGACCGCCTGCTCCTGGATCTGTGTGGCCAGCTCGCGCGTGGGCGCAAGCACAAGCATCGTGGGTCCCCTCCGTGGGTCCTTCCTCTGCGCCTGGATGTGCAGAAAACCAGGGAGAAGGAAGCCGAGCGTCTTGCCGGACCCGGTCTTGGCGACGGCGATGATGTCACGGCCCTCCAGGGCAACCGGCCAGGATTGGGCTTGGATTGGGGACGGTTGGGTGAAGCCAGCGCGGGTGAACTAGGGAGAAAGAGAGTTTTAAAAGGTGAGGAGCAAGATCTAGTGAAAGAATCTGGTTGTGATGAGGAGGGAGTCTGAGGGCTGCCCAACAAGTCTACCACTCACACAACTTGTTTTGGCTCTGATTCGAAGTGAGATAAGGGTAATTTCCCCTCTGGAATAGAGAAGTTTGAAAAGCAATGGAATGAGAATGTCATAAGGGGGCCGTTGAAACCTGCACGGGTGTGGGCTGTTACAAAATGCTGGTTGCTCGTAGGTGATCGGGGAAAAAAGCCTAAGATCGCACAGTCTGATGGGGTTGAGATGCTCTTTGGACAGATGCAGCAGAAGCAGCGTTTGCTTGCTGAGCAATTTCAGAAGAGCCGCCCAGAGGGGCAGACATTAGCCACAAGGCAGCGTGCGAGCTGCTGTTGGAGTGGTTGAACAAGGGGATGCAACTTGCAGGAGGGATGACATTGCCCAACGCAATAAGCACAGACTCGCTATGGGACGATATGCACTTCTTTCCGGCCTTCAGAAGCAGGAAAGTGGAACAATACGTTATGAAGAGAGTGCAATGGGTGCTAGCCTCCGGCAAAAAAGAAACTTTCATTTTTTCAATAGAGAGGAAAGAATCATAGAATGGAGTTTGTCAGCAGGAGAGGACTCACCTCGTTGGTGAAGGAAGAAGGGAACCCAGTTTCTTCAAAAGTGAGGAAGGGTGCGGGAACATTGCTTCCCTGCAGCACCAAAATGTCCAGCTCAGTGAGGCAGTTTGACCAGTTGACTGGGACCCCAAACTATGCAGGCAAGCCCATACTTGACCACCTTTTCATCAAAAAGGAGTGAGCAACAAGGCTGCATTAGATCTGGAGACGCCTACCCTACCACTGGCCCCCTTGCCTGATCCATTCTGAAATGATATGCATGTCAAGAGGAGCTTACAACACAGATTGCAAATGAATACCACTCATCATGCACAAGAAGGACAATTGGATTGATGGCTTAGGGTTTCCTCTATCCAACCGCCGCCTCAGCCATGAGCTAGGTAAATGACAGCCAAAAAGGTGCTCACCAAAACCACGATCTCATGTTCTCGTTTGAAGGCCTCCACGTCGTCGGCACTGCTTGCGCCCACCCTCGCACGTTTTGCGCCACCACCATGACCATTTTCATCATCGTACCTCCGCTTAGTGCCCCCGTTTGCATGCCCGTTTGGCTCGGGCCGAGGGCCAACCGCATCCTTTGGCCTCTCATACTGAGTCGTATTACTTTTCTGATTCCTGTCAGGTACAAAAGCGATGACGTCAACCACCCGTGCAAATCTCTCGTCATTGCTCCACAAGAAAGTACAAAACGAGACATGGACAGCAAGCATTTCGATCATGGGCCAAGGGCTAAGGGCCTTTTGCAGAGCACTTTGTTATATCAGCAGACAACAATGAACCATACCACCAAATTCCATCTTGTCTACTAGTACTAGCTGCACCTTGTCTCAAGAACCACCAACCTGAAAATGGACGTAGAATTGATCTTCAATCTACCACCTGATGAGCATCCAATGAAAATATCTCAGATCTAGGTGACGCTTACCAGTAGTATTTATACCCTGTGCTTGTATCAATGAGTGCCACCCATCCGGCCGGCAGGGTCGGGTCAGGAGGCGCATACTGCGGCCCGGCAGCCGACATCTCTACCGAGAGAAGTGTGCAGGAGTAGCAGTTGCAAGGGGCAGCTCAACCTAGTTGCAGATACTAAGCGGAAAGGGCCACTTAATACTTTACCTCGCATGTACAACTGCTCAACTGTTACGTCCACTGCAGGGAGCCAGTGTAAGATCAGAGGCAATTTGAGCTGTCACCCCAAGCAGATCTGACGATTTGCTGATCAATCTGGTGGCCATGTGCAATCATCAATCTGTTCAAACGATTAAAAGTTGGAAACCATACAGATTTGTGCAAGCTGAGTGCCGAAGAAGGCGAGCTGATTAGAAAAGCAGGCTGATCTAAGAGCACCAATCAGCAACTCCATAAGGTGCTTGGCACAGCTTCAAAGGCAGAGACTAGGGACCCCCTGCTTTGAGGATGTAAACAAAAACCAAAACAGCAGCATGCCATAATATGCAAAGGGGCACCGTTACCGGCCATATTACCTGAAAGTTTGATATCTGCAGATCCTGTCTGTAAGAAATGCACCTAGATTACACGGTGTGACTTCTGATTGTTTGGGGGACAGAATTCAGATCGTTCTCCACCAGCTACCCTCTTGCCTGTTAGAACAGATAAGATCGGGCGCCCTTTTGCCTCAAGGCTCAGCTTCTCTCCTTAGCACCACAAATCAAATTTGCAGATCCAGAACAGAGCAGCAAACAAATCTGTCAACGTACAGTACAGATCTGCGTGTACCTAGGTAGTAGTACCGTACCGACCAACCCATTTCGCACAGGGCCCAAAAAATGAATTATTTTCGTTCATTTTTCGTTTTCGCACCGGGCCTTGAAGAATTATTTATTTCAGTTTGTGATTTCGCACTCGGGAAATTCGAGTTTAGGTTTTCGCACTGCTTGACCGCGCAGATTTAGGGTTTGCGGCGCGAAGCGCCGCCGCCGCGCGCCAAGGCCGGCGCGGCCGCCCGTCGCGCCACGCCGCGGCCAGGCTGGCACTGCCCTGACAGTGAGTCCGAGGCCCACTGTGGCATGAGTGCCCTGCCAGCTTGGCCCTGCAGTGAACCGTCCGATCTGGACTCGGTAGGTAGATCAACGTCTAGGAGCTGGCTCGCTATCAGTTAGGGCGCGAAAGTTTCAATTGGCGCCCACGCAACTCTGATGATGGACCCGTCATGATCTGTTGACCGTGACAGGTCCTGCATTTGTATTTTACCAGGGAAGAAGACAGGGGCCAGTCATGGCGCCCACTGGCAACGCTGTGATCACTGCTTTTTTCAAGAAAGCTACACCTGAACAGCTTGAAAGACAGAAGCAGATTGATGCTGAGCACTGGGAAGCTCAGAAGAGGAAGGATGCTGAAAAATTGGCGAGGGATGAAGCAAAGCGGCAGGCGGCTGAGGCAGCCAAGAGACCAGTGGGTAGGCCAAAGAAGAAAAGACCCCCTCCAGTGGTGCTTATTGATCTGGAAAACCCCGCTGCAGAGCCTACCCCCCAACCCCAACAGCCTCCGGCTCCTAAGAAGCTCAAGGGCCCTTACACCAAGTGGGGGTCTGTTAAGCTCTGGCCACTCATTGCCGAGGCAGTCCGCAAGCACCCCAAATCCCTCTCAGAAGCCCTCAACTTTCTGCAACACATCAAGGCGGCTCCGGGCAGATCTGCCAGTCCCTTTGACAAGCTGACTGTGAACACCATGAAAGGGTGGTACGAAAGGAGCGGGCCAGACGGCCACTGGAAGCTGAAGGACTCGATGAAAGAGAAGCTGGCAGCGCTTGCAGGGAGCAAGGCAGCTCAACTGCGGCGTAACAGGGAAAGTCCTGGGGGCATTCTCAAGGGCAGACCTGAGGTGGTTGACAAGATTGTGCGCTGCCTGAAGGGTATGCGAGAGTTTGGCCAGCAGATTGATAGCTCCGGACCATCAGGAGCATCATCGAGGGTGTGAT